CCGGTCTCGTCTCCTTCGGCTCGGCCTGCAAGGGTCACCAGGCGGGCTCCAGCTGCTTGTCGGTCCTCGACTTCGTGTCACTCTCCAGTTCCCTCTCCGTGCGCGGTGGGGTTCGCGCGGGCAAGCGAGTCTCCGTTCTAGACTTCTTGCCATTGGGCAGCTCCCTCTCAGTACGCAGGTTTGGTGCCTGTGGATCACGCGCGAGCGTGCTTTCCTTCCTCCAATGCGGCTCCTCACTCTCGCTCAGAGCGGCTTGCAAGACGGGTACAACTTACCTTAAGTCTTATAGTACAAGTAATTATAGTTATATATACAACTGCAATTGGAATTGCTTTTGCTATGGCGTATGTATTTGGTTACCCGTTTGCCTCATTCGTTCGAAGTAGTTCCTTTTGGGCGTTTCGGGTGCTGCCAGGGTGGGGGTTTATGTAGCACGTAGTAGCTTGTAGCGCGGAGCTTCTTTTCTTATTCCATAGCCCGCCACTCTTTACGTAATTCGTAGCACGCCGGTAGGCCGTATGGATTTAATGTAACTCGTAGCATTTGCCAGACCCTTCCGCCCTGCCCCGGCGTGTGTACACGCCGGGGGCACGTGGGCGGTATCAATCTGTAATTACTTAAGTAGGTACAGGTGGTACTTCTAGTTCTAGCCCAGAGAACGAAGGTACAACATGAACATCAATCATCATGTGCAGTAACATTATTAGGGAGTTTCCACTCATGTGTCATCGTAAAAAGTGTAAGTAGCCCGCTTCACCAAGAAGTATTAACTCTGCGCTACTAGTACGTAGGTACGTACATCTACTCCATCTACTTTCAAGTTTTCGTATGCACTTGTTTGTATCCAGCATGAAAAAACAGGAACACGAACAGCAGATTTCCGATTTGACGGATATGAATGACATATTGCGCGTGGAGGTGAGTGCAGCCTGTGGGAAACTCGACAGTGAGAAGCGGCGTTTAGAGCAAATGGTGGAAACGACAAAGGCCCGCTTCAGCTCCATCCGGCGCTCGACAGCATTTTCTCCTGCACCAAGGGGGGATGGAGGTTATGTTGACGAACAACACCCTAGTACTGTTGAAAATCTACCTCTGAAGCAAGAGCAAGGGGTGGAAAGCAGAAGTATGGCCGCGGGCACCATGCTCCTGGGAACGAACAGCAAATGCAGGAGCAAAGGGAATGGCAACGCCACAATGCAAGGAGGTCAGTTGGATGATTCTTCAGTGGAGGAATTAAGACGAGCCCTAGAAGACACTCTGGCACAGAAAGCAGGAAATAACAGTAGCTCTACTTCTACGACTACCTCGGTGGCAGTGGTGGCAACAAGAACTGCAGGAGGTACTTCTTTGGGTGGTGCAAATACACAACAAATCCATACTTTTGGACCCGCAAGTGGGCAAAGCAAAAGTGATGACGAGCAATCCTTTGCGAACAGCAAAGAAATCCCGTTTTACCAAGGAAAAGCGGCATTGGGTATGTCAGCAAATAACACATCATCGAGCACCAGCGTGGGTGCTGGTGCCAGTACGGGCGGGGGAAATAACACTACAACTTCGACTTTGCTGATGAGTTCTGCCGGTTCCGCTCCTTCGTCATCGAGTAATCTTGGTGCGGTCGCGGATGCAAGTCGGTTTGGGCAGTCACGTCCGCCGTCCTTGCCCTCCGCACTGGAGACCCTAGAGACGGAGCACTCAGTGAAAACGCCGTCGAAACAGCGGGAAATGCTGGACGTGCTGGACCGCATTGAGACGCCGCGTCGCAGTGCGAAAACCGTGCAGCAGACCCACGGCTCTGTGCCGCAATTGCCCGCCTTGCCGCGGCTCGAACCGCTATCAGAAAACGAAGAGATTCTGATGGAGCGCGAGCGCAAATGCCAAGCTATCATTGCGCGTCTCGAGCTCGAGCGCAACATGTTGCGCTGGTCGCTCTCGCAGACGCAGCGGACGCTAGGAGGGACGCCGGGCAATTCCTACGATGGTTTGCTCACAACCGGCGCGGGTGGCTCCACGCCCCTCGTCCCCACGCCAGGGTCGATGCTGCACAACAGTTCCCTTATGGGGGTAGCGCAGGCGGGGAGCGCAGGCGGCACCGGCGGCGACTCGGGCTCCATGCCGATGCAGGGTTCCGCAACTGGTAGCGCTATAGAGAGGCTAGAGTCAGAACTTACGCTGAGAGAACCGGAGCAAATGCGAGACGTAATGCGATCTCTGGATGGTATCCAAACCCCAACGACGCCCGGCCGCGAGACACCCAACCGAGGTCGCATGGACACACTCGATCGCATCTCCGAGATGGAAGAGCTATTATACGAAGAAACCATGGGAAACAACTACGCCGCGGCGGTACTACTCGTTATTCTTATTTACATGATACTAGAACTAATTTGTAATGCATAGCGTAGCTAGTGTTAGTCCTCCAATGTGAGAGGTATGGTATGAAGGGGAGGTGTACATTATCAAGAATGAAAAACAAAAAAAAAGGATGTTGGACCAAAATGTTGAATGTATGCATCGCATGATGAGTTAGAACATTAAGTCCAAATTCTATTGGTAACTCTCTGTCCGCATCCACATCCACACCAGCTTGGTGCCTTGCAGCGGGAGTTCAAGAGGAAGGAGGCGTTTTTGCGCAACCGTTGGTCCTCCGAGTTACTTCTGCAGCAACCGAATGCGCGGAGCGAGCGGCCGCGACCGTGGCAGCGTGCGACTGGGGAGCAACCGAGCCAAGGCGGGATGGAGCTGAAAGTTGATCTCTCGAAAATGCTGTCCGAGCAGTTGCCAGCGCGAATCGAGGAAGAAGAGGGCGCAGCGCACAGCAGTCGCGGCAGCAGCAAAAGCGTCCTTGACTCACCGAGGCAGGATGGAGCGTTGCTGGCGACCCTGGACATAGCACCGGGAAGCGCAGACAATTTTTCCAGTGCAGAGATTGCATCCTCTGCAGCATTGCAACACGAAGTAGGAGCAGAAGTTTCGTCTAGCAGCGCGCAGATCAGTAGAAGTGTTTCTCCAACTGCTGAGAATTCGGCCTCTTCTAGCACTGCTGCGATTGCTTCGCGTAGCGAAGGCAGTGCCCGACGTCAACCAAGCCTAGTAGTTGTTAGAGGCGCGATGTCGGCGGGTAGTACCGCAGGATCAAGCACAGGTGTGTCCACGCATGTTGATGGTAATCCAGGAGCCTCTGCGGGAGAACAAACGCCAGCACCCGCAACAGGGGAGTCCGGATCCGACGCGCAAGCATCCAGCTCAGAAGTACAGCCTTTGGCATTGGAAATGCCGCGTCGACACCAGTCGACGTCTGTTTACAATTATAGGCAGTCCTACACCGCGGGCCTGCGGAGGTCAGCCGCAGAATCCTCGAAGAACGACGTCGAGATAGTGGACGACGAGGAGGGCGCAACACTGGAGGACGAGGCTTCCTTTGTTCATGTGGAAGTAGATGGAAGCACCAGTACCGCACAGATGCTGAACATGGGTGCTGGTGGATCAGAGGATGTTGCTCGTGCTGCAGAAGAAGACCTAGGCGTAGGCCAAGTTGACAAGTTGAGTTCATCTGAGAATAATGAGACAGACGCAGCTACTAGGGGAAGCTATTTCGGTACAGGTGCTAACATGTTTGGTAACATGATGAGCTACCTGGAAGATAGACTGAGCGTCACGCAGGCACCCACGGCCCTAGACGGTGAACGCGACCCCATTCGGCCTGTCGTATACACTGATGAAGATCCAGATGATATGCTGGCGGCTTCTAATCGCGTGTCTGAATCAAAATCTTCTAGCAACTCCAACACAGACCCTCGTCGTGGTCCTCGTGAGGTCGTAAAGGTCAACGACAGCCAATTACAACTACGGTTTTCTTCGTTAGGAACCGTAGGGGCAGGTCCTCTGCCTCCAGCTATGCCAGCCCCTCCTCCAGGTAGTATTCCTGTAGTGGACTCTCCTGTGGTCTTTTCTCCCGCCGCAGTCTCCTTAGCGGATCCGCAATCGGACGCACAGTCCTCCGTGCCAGGCTCAGTGCGCCATCTGCCGTTGTCGGATGCTGGAACCTCGGCCCAGGGATCCATGGAAGACGTGGCTGAAAGGCGTGGTATGGAGAGGGGCGGTTCGACGGAGGACATTGATGACACTGGTCTAGGTGGGGGAGATACTAATGCTAATGCAAATGCTACAGCTATAGAGCAGATTATGGAGCGACAACTGAGCGGTTCCTCCACGGGAGGACGTCGAATGCAGAGCTTGCCCGAACAGCTTGCTGCCGAAGCACGCGCAGGAATGGCGCAGGCACAGGTTGCACGTGCAACTCTAGGGCAAGATGGATCATTAGCACCACAAGAAGTTCAAGATCAAGATGATATGGGACAAATGGGTTTTGGTCCTTTAGGTCACCAGGTAGATAATCTTAGCGAACCACTGGGAGGAAGCAGTGAAGCACCGCTCGGAGACGACGAGAGCAGAAGTGATCGCCCACTCGAAGAGATGGCAGATGGGGTCGCGTCAGAAGCTACGTCTGAAGCAGCCAGCGACGGCTTCCTGCAAGTTGGGGCGACGCCACCGCTTGCCCACTCCGACGATGCACTTGTGTAAGAAGTCCCTAAATCTTCTGGCATTGGTAGATCATGCCACCCGAATGCGGTGATAGAGTAATGAATTCTTAATGACAGTTGTAGAAGAGATTGTGATCGAACTTGAAGATATTGAAGTTTGTTAAAATTTTTTTGGTCAGGACGAAAGGAGACTCTTCATGGTTGAAGAGTCGTCTATTTCAGAACATCCATAGGGTCGTTTCGAACTCTTGATTTTGATAGAATATGAATGATCGTCAAAAATGCTTCAGCTCAGGAGTAGTTCTCTCTTTTATTACAGTGAAATGACAAAAGTACGACGTGTCGTGTGATATTGCCTCGGGATGCGAGAAAAGGAGTAGGTTCCAGCAATTTCGTGTTCATTATAGGCTAGAGAGAGAGAGAAGGTTGTAATGCAAGTTCTTCATCACGAATGACTGTGCGAGAGGTAGCGTAATGCGACTGAGAGCCGACTGAGAAGTAGAGGGAGGTGTGAAGGAGGGTACTAGAGAAGAGGTGTGAAGGAGGGTACTATTTAGCGTTCGGCTTCGGTTCAGTGTTCACGCCAGCAGGGTTTGGGGCTCGTAAACAAGAGAGGCAGAGAGGAATTGGCCGTCCCCCCACCTCGGTGGCATTACCCTAGGGCGATGGCAGAGGGAGTGATATATGATGTGCGCCCTGTGTAATGTAATCGTTGTCACCGCGTTGAACAAGCAGAATGAGGGTCCTCGCGAGCGAATACAGACGAGAGCACTCCCCCCAAAAAAAGCGCTCCACAGTGAAAATAGGTTTCTGATGTGCCCGCTTTCTCCTTTGTACTAGCTAGAGAAAGACGAGTACATAATCGCTTCAGCAAACAAGACGCAGTCATTGATTCGGCGCAATTAGTCTCAGGATTTACCTCTCTTCGCCCGTGATGCGTAGGCTTTGCTTACCTTCGAAACATATGGATTAGCCGAATCGAAGTTAGTTGAATTTGAAATCACACATACACCACTGTGGACTTCCTAGGTCGCATTTCCTTCGTAAGCGTTGTGAACTCATATCAGAGTTCCGCTTGAGCTCCGAGAAAGAAAAATAGCTTATCTTGCTTGGAAAAAGCCTTCTTCATCTGGAATAAGTGTTGCGAGTTTGTTTTTCTGCCCTTCCTGCACGTGCACCCATTTGGTCAAATATTTGATGAAGCAGTCTCCTAATTTTCAGGAGTGTACGTATATTATATGGTAAAAATCCCCGCCCGTGTTGCAGCAGTCATCCTCTACTAGGTCTTATACTTTATAGTAGAGCATTTATCATTTTTAAGAAAGATGATGCAGACGACGGGCAGAGTGTCTGTGAATTGGGCGCGCGCGAGCTCGACCTTGTGCACTTCGAGCAGTCGGTTTTACAATAATCAAGAGGACGATCCACATAATGTGCTCGATGGTGGAAATTTTTCATGGTCTGATTCCTATTTTGGTTCCTTGCTGCTACATACTACGAGTACTAGTATGACCTCTTTTTAGCAACCCAAATAAGGAGATGATATTGATGCGTGTTGTAACGAATATGAGCACATAGATAAGTACCTTTTTCACAACAACTCAAAGTCATTCTATTTCATTTCTCATTACCAAAAATTCTTCTTCCGAAAACACTTACACTTTCAGGTGGGGCTCCGCAGCCAATGTGACATTAGTGGACTTTCAGATCGATTTTCAGACCGTGCGGCTTATCGATCATGTCTTTATTGCCTTCGGCGCGGAAGATGGTATAGAAAGTTTCAGTTTGTAATTTCTTGGAGTACAACTTGTAAAACCTAGTAATCTCCATCTCCTTCATCGTTTCATACTCTTACACCTTGAAATACCTCTTGTTGGGTTTATTCATACACTCCATCCTGCACCTGCTTTCACTCATCTAAGGTCTGGTGCCAGGTTTAGCATCTTTTCTTATCCTCGCTTCCAGTCTTCAAACTTATCTCAGGCCTGCTGGTACCAAGTTTATCATCCTCTCCCCTTCCTCACTGTGAGGTGTCGCTCGAAATGCGGCCGCCCAGTTTGTTGTACTCTCTAGTTCAGACGGCATGAGCTGGCAACAGCTCGCAGGCGGCGGCGATACAACGGGCGCAAAGTACGAGGCAAATGTGCATCAAGAAGGCAGGTCAGCGCTCTGCCTGTCGTGGGCACAACCGATGCAATGTCGTTACATCAAAGTGCAATTCCAGCAACTGGCAACAGGTACGTAGATGCTTACTTAGGTTAATCAACTAAGTATTTAATTTTGGTTCTGGTGAATACTGGTTTCTGTTATAATAGAATTGAGTCATAGTAATTACCATTAGCACAACCATTTCATAATCGGACGGGAATAAGTGACTTCTGAACTAAAACTTCCTAAGTCTCTCCCTGTTCAATCAGGTTGGATAAATCATGCGATTCATCAAATTCAAGCATGGGGTCCTGGAGACGGGCCATCCGCGCAAGCGATGATGCAGAATTGTAGAGGGCCACCGACATTCATCTACGCCACTGACCTGCAACAAATGAAGGTAAGACTCCAACGTGAAATTGTAATTGACTATATGTTATTAATACGTGGAAGTGGAGAAAAACCACAAGACGTTGGTCATTAGTAACCCACCCTCCTGCTCTAGTAACGAATGTGAATCAATCAAACCGAAACCTCCACAGACATTAAAAACTTTCATGAAAACTACAGCAAGCTTTACTAGTGTGTCCACAAACATTAACATGTTTCATCAAAACAAAACACAGCAAGCTTTGCTGATGGGAACGATGTCCTCAAAAATGGGGCTCAATCCATGGAATGCACCGCCGCTGCCTCAGTTTGCACCTGTTGTGCAGGTCGTTCCACAACAGCAGGTAGTGCTGCCTGTAGTAGCGCCAGCGCCACAGCAGATGGGAAAGCCAGCAGAGAAAACCGAAGAGGAAAAGTTACGGCATAAGGATAACGATATAAATGTTGCTGTTTTGTACTGCTATATAGAGTGTGTAAGAGGAAAATGTTCGTGTTGTAGTAGAGCGGAGACTTCTTCCATTGATGCTAGCATGAATGTACTCAGTTACCTCCTTGTTACCAACAGATAGTGCATGGAAATTTTAATTGTCGTCTTGTACCTACTGTAGAGTGTGGGAACCTGCATGAGGAAAAATTCCATTGATAGTTCGGTTCACATGATTGTAGTTACGAATAGATAGACAAAGTCCTCTCTAATGTATTGGAAGGAGGAAAAAGCGAGGCAAAACGCACACGCAGCAAAGAGACAAAAGGGCATGTGTATGGGGTATTTTTCGTGGTTGAAATTCTTTAAGAATTTCACAGAAGGTTGCACGGCTTGTTTTTTCGATAGTACTAGGTTTCTCTCATCTTTGAAGATACTTACAGCATTTTTTCGATGTTTGTTTCTTATTAGTCCCTTCATTTAATCATAAAAGAACAATGAATTTAGACGCAAAATGTTGAATCCTAGACAACATTGTTGACTTCTCCGCAGGTGCGCCGCCGCAATGGCAGCTTTGCCATGCTGCTTCTGCCTGGCATACGTTATTGGTGAGAATGCAGGCGAGATCGCCGACGGCGCTGCAGGCGCTGCAGAGGGTGTCGGCGATGTTGCTGGCCAAATTGGGGGATGTCTGGAGAGCCTCTTCAAATGAGGTGCTCAAGAATGTCGCTTTTCGGACTCTTTCGGAACCTTGTTGATTGAAAAATAGTCTACAGGTACAGTAGAAACAGGCAGACAGAAATAACTAGCGAATATTTTTTGAATGCATGATGACGAAATCGATTTAGCTAACATGACGGAAGGATGTAGCGTCTTAGAGATGACGACTAAGAGAAGCAGATGTGAGAAATTAAATGGGAGGAAAGAGGGAGCAATGTTGATCTTTATCTTCCATTGTTGTGTAGGGGGTCGTGGGAGGAATGGTACTTCCTTCTGTAGAGGTGTCCACCGACCAGCAACAATTGTTCTTCTCGTCTCGTCTATGATCTTATTAAGGTCAAGAAGCGATCACGCGGCGGTTAGGCAGATTCATTCTGAATCTATACCCAACACAAATAGTGTCATTTCAATTTTTTTATATGTGATACTTACATTCATCGAAGATGCATACTAGTGGAGAATACAAGAGCGCAGGTGCCAGCCACTAATCCGCATCTTTGATTCTGCAAATAATGATTCGCGCTTCGATAGTTGAGATTGCGTAATAAATGGATTTTTTTTCGAGATTACAGTCAGAACTTGCATGTTCACAAATCTTCCTGGTTACAATTTTGGTTAGGATTTCGAATGTTGTTGTGATAAAAAATGTACGCCCTCGTCTCCTGCGCGCGCAAGTATTCGCTCTAGAATTTCCACGGCGAACGGTATGTCTCGGCTTTTCGCGGCAGGCAGCTGCAGGCCGCGGGCCGTTGGTCTCACTGGCGTCTCTATGAGGAGTCTCCCACTCCCTTGCTCTTCCCCCTCGGCACATCCTGCTGCCCCACGCAAGCAGTACATCAATTAAAAGGACTAGAGAGAGCTAACAAACCAATCAAATATGACGATCAAAAGTTATCGGACAAAATTAAATTCTTAACGAGTTTAACATAAGTAATGGAATTTCGGCAATATGCTTCCACCCATCATACTAAGTAATTAGGAAGGAATAGTGTTTAGCAGGTGTCAACGTTGTAAGCAAGTATATCATTCAGAGAATACAGCTAAGTACTTGGGTCTATATGCTTTGGTCTTCGTCGGACGAGTCACGGTTTTGTTGATATTCATTTCGCGCGTGTGTCACGCTAACACTCAGCTGTGGTAAACTTTCACTCATCACATTATATCAGATTGGATTGAGTTCGAATTCGTCTTGTCATGATGAGGTAAGCCGAGTAGATACGAATAACTGAATTCTGCATGAACGCAGATGCAAGCTTCGATACTATTCTCCGCACCGGATGCAAGCATTCGGAAAAAGTGGCAAAAATGTGAGTCCCATGCATAGTTTGAAAGTGAGCTCCTGAGGGAAATAGGATTTCAGCAAGAGAGAAACATAGCAGAGAGATATTTTAGCTCGTCCACAGGGCAATATTTAGAAGAGAGTATGGCATAGATTTTCTGTTGTCCCCATCCTTGTGTCGCTTGTCTACATAGATACTGCATTCCCAAAAAAATACGGCTGCCACAAGGTACCGAAAACCGCTGGGTGTCGAATGTACTGCTCCTATACAGAAGACGCCTGGAAACGGACAAAGAATACAATGAAATTTTCTATCGGGCAAGATAGATACCTCGCAGCTTAACCGATAAATAAAGCGTAGAAACACGGACATTAGACACGAACCGTTCCGTCTTCATCTCTCATCCTACCATTTCAGCAAAAGAAAGATCAAAGTCTGAAAATAGAAGAAACAGCAGCACAATTTAGTTCTTATTCGGAGGCAGTTGATATGATCTTCTGTGACTGCGAGAAAATTTCGCGGTACTATTAAATCCTTGATGTGGACTTAAATTTTTCTAGATCGTGAATATATAAGCATAAAGGTACAACTGCTTTGTCCTCACTGTAAAAGAACAAAATGGAAGAGTTACTTCGTGTCGGAGAAAAGCTCGGCAAGAGCAGTGCGGAAAATCCGCTTGGCGCTAATCCCGATGCGAATCGTTCGCCTTTCGATTTCTTCGCATCACAGGCCGCTCCACAACCAGCCGGCGGCGCGGCTTCCGCTCCAAATGCAATGCCTCCACAAGGTAGTACTAGTAGCTGTAAAGAGATCAAAGATGTCCTCTGTTGTAGCTGAGCTTCTCACACTCACTTACCCATAATGGTTACATGATAGATGAATACAGGTTCATATAATTGCTAGTGGGTGCGTTTACATCATTCCGCTGGAAGGATTCCATCATTGTTATGATCATGGACAACATGATCAGGTAACAGCAACAACAACCCCCTCGTTGTGACAGCTCCATGAATCGCAAGATCAAGATCTACGGCTTCTGGTCGTTGAATAAATGATAGCATGATTGATAATTGAGTGAGTACGTCGATCAGCAACCATTTGCCTCCACATTGCAGGCATGGGAGGTTTTAGCAAGGAAGAAATGGATATGCTCTTCAGCGGAGCAAGCGCGGAAGACATGCAGAACATGTCTCCGGAGGAGATTGAACAATACATGTTGCGCTACGAGAAGCTGATTATTAAGGCTGTGATGTTACTGTCCGGAAAATCTTAGGCAAGCTGCCGAATATAGTCGAATCACGACCAAGGCTTTGATGTTGTTTTTTCGATATGTGCCGATATCATTTTACTGCTGCTTGACTCCACTCCTACGGTCTAACTTTATAATAGCCATGCATAGTCATAGTGCTAGGAGGTAGAGGAGATTATAGGAGTACAGCATAATTGTAGCTGTAGTCCTAGGTGCACCTGCAATCTCTATTTCGTGGGCAGCTCTAAAAAGACGGAGAAACGCACAAAAGAAATGCATAAAGCGAACCTAAACAAAGTCGATCACGAAGGTGGTGCGATGGTCGAGCCGGAACCTGGTACCGAGAACTAAAGAATCTGAGAGGCCTTGTCTTCCAGGATAAGTTGCACGAGAGAACCAAGATCAAACCTTTACCTTATATAATATGAGAAGGACTTACGTCAAGGTCGTGTTTCTCTGCGACTTCATGATCAAGCGCTTAAGTCGTGGTTTTCTGCACACTTCTAAGTAAAAAGTTGATAACTGAGACGTGTCATCTTCGTCTTAAATATCACTCTCCTGCACGACATATTGTCCACACACTCATGTTAGCATCAGGTTTCGTGATCAAGAGTGCCTTTCGTTCGGGCACGAAGCACGCGAATGCGGGTCAGAAACTTTTTATAAACGTTTGCAGTCACGACTTGGTAGAGCGACCTCATATGCACACAATCGCCCCCGATGACGGCTCTGAGGTGCAGGAGGGGATGCGAATTCCTGTATCGGTGGGAGCTCCAATCGAGGATTTTGACAAGAAGAATGTACAAACTTATTGCTCTTGTCAATCTTCAAATTTTCTTGGTGACGGTGTGCTATTACTAGGAACCTTTTGTTCCCTACTCAATAAATCTTCCTCATTTTGTTCTATGCGTGCTTCACGAGGCTTCCTCATGTATCGCCATTTTCAGGAAAAATGCATCAACGTGGACGTCCTTGTGCACCCAGACGTTACGAAGAAGTGCGAGGAAGAAGCAGAGACAAAGCATAGCGTGATGGAGCTTGCCTTGAGTGCGGTGCAATCGAAATACAAGTGGAGTCTCGATCCGCAAGTGAAATTTCCGAAAATCAAGTACAAAGGGCCAGTACAGTACCAGCGAATACGAGTCACAAAGAAAAGCGAGATACAGTTACGAATCGGACTTGGAGTAGCTTGTGGGTACAGCTAGATGAGGGAACCACCAGAAGACTACCCATAAACTTTTCTTTTGAAGTAGGGCGGGGTCACCCGACAATACTTCATAACACACAAAAATTTCTCCACCTATGCACAAAATTTATGGCACTTCTACTTGTTGCGTCTACACACAACATGAACATGATTCCTACTTCTAATAGAGGAGGTCTCAGGGAGTTCCAATGGCGGCGCGTCCGGGGACGACTCAGGCGCTGCTTCATCGAAAACGGAAGATGATATTGAGTTAGTAGAGAGACCGGATTTTGAAATTTGGTACTATAAATGTCACAAGTCCTCTCCGTCGTCGTCGTCAAGTAGTAGTAGTAGCGCTTCGCCGGGTTCTTCTTCGACTTCTGAAGGAGCAAGTAGTGCCTCTACTTCATCAACAGACGAGGGAGATCAAAGTCTTCAGGTGGCTGACGGATCGAGTCCCTCATCCTCCAGTAGTGTTTCTGGTGGCGGCTCTTCATCGAGCACTAAAACTGGGTCATGTTCGAGTGACAATGCTGCTGCGGAGGAAAAGGAGATTGGGGCTGTGGGGGACGACGACGACGTGATTAACGGTTTTGATCTAGCTTGTTACGACCAGCGACGAGAGATCCGAGAGAACCTGAAGAAACGCGGGTGGCTCTCGACGGACCACAAAAGCGAAACCAAAGAAGCATTTGAAAGGGAAAAGCAGGAATTTTTGAGGAATCTAGTTCGGAATCGGATAGCTGTATATCGTGTGAAGCTACCAAAATTGCGGAGAAGCAACGTTCACAAATATGTGCAGGTGACGGTTAGCGACGAGGGTTTCCGGCTTTTCTTCCCAAGCTACGGGGGGCGGGGGGGCGGTGGTCAGCAAGATTCATCCGCTTATGAGATCAGCAGGATACCAATTTGTTTTTTTTTTTCTTTCGGTTTTGCCTTTCTTTGAAGATAAGTGATGGATTGAAGATAGATCTTGTAGTTTCTCCCCCCATTCTTCCCTTACACCAGAGCATCTTTTCATGATTACTTGCATCGTGCGTTCGCGCTGTAAGCATTATCTGATCTTCTAATGAAAGATTGCTGCAGCGTATTTGCCTCTCACGATATGGTTTCCGCGAGCATTCTGCTCATCGCAAGCAGAGGTTTTATGGGACTCGAGTGAGAAAATACTGGAAGTACGGCTTCCGACTGACGCAGATGAGTCCTTGGACGCGCTATTGGACGACGACCTTTTACACGAGGTCTTTTGAGGATTTACAATGTTTGCCCCATTCGCAACTTGTGCACCCAACTCAGATGGGTTTGTTTGAACGAATTCCAAAGGCAAGGGTAATGAATTGAAGACACGTCGTCCTCGGGAATCCAGTTTCTTTCTCTCCTCTAGACTTTTCTCTTGATTGCCATATGATTTTGATAAGTTCATAAGCGCGCAAAAGTGGTAAAGCAGAAAATGAAGGTAGTCTAGATGAGGCCACTGGCAACTTGCTTGCCGTTGCTATGTGGGTGAGAGGAGCGACTGTGCTTCCACCTGCTTTTCCTATCGAATCTTCACGTACTACCCTTGGTTCGTCATCTTTCCATCTCATTTGATCTTGTTCGGGCAAAGCGATCTAGTCACAAGGTCGACTCCTGAGAAACACAGATTGCGGGTTATATCCTCTAGATTGTGGGTTATATCCTCTCCTGTCGTATCATCTCCTTGTCGGATGATCTGTTCGTTTCATCCATCAGATCTAAGCTATGCTGTAATTTTTTTGTAAGAATTTGATTGTGCGTTGCGTTTTGATTGTTTTTGTTAAATTTGAAGTTGAACTCTATTGAAATAGGTCGAATTTTTCTACTTTCCACTAATACAATACTTACTTACTCGTGTTTCCCTCTATTTTAAGGTGTATCCCTTCATGCAATACAATACTTACTCTTACTTACTCATCAACGTTGAACGAACAGGAATACTTACAGATAACTAAGTGTACACAACTACTTGCACGATTGTTCTTTTGAATCATCGACAGTCTATTTTCACCAGGATAAGATTTTTCAAGGGAGCAGCACTTCCTGCAGGCACATTATCCTGCGGCATTGTAGCTGTATACGTCTCGTGGTCTCTGCAGGCACGCGGTGTCAAGGTTGCAACTTTGGGCACTACGGAACCTATACAACAGGAAAAAGAACAACATCAATTTGATAGCCATCAGAGGCAGAGGCGGATCTAGCACCCACGAGTTTCCTAGAGAAGGAAGAATTGGCTATGACGTCAAACGTGGAGGAGGAGATAAGAGTGCTCGCGAGTGTGTTATCGTCGGAAAAAGGTGCTGGTTGCCGATGTAGCGGTGGCGAACAAGGGGAGAGCGGCTCAGGAGGAGGACGTATCCTCGATACGTTCTTGACGCGGTCGTGTCTTGGCGAAGCGTCTACACGTTGGTTGGCGGGTACAAGCCAGTCTTTACGCCAGCACGCGATGGCCGCGCAGCCTATCTATGTTCCCGTATTTTTGAGATCGCTTCCATCCGCAAAAAGCAAAATGACGATAACAGCTCGAGTTATCCGACATACACGGGACCGAGCTTTTTCGCTGGTAGCGAAGATACCGCGATTGGCGATTTCGCGCGATACGCAGCTTGGCGGTTTCCCGATGGTAGGAGCATGAAATGCGATGTTTTCGAGTGGCAGACCGACACCGATAGGAGCGCAAACCTACTCAAGAAAGGGCTTTCATGGGAATTCAAGTTGCCGCCTCGAAGCAAAGAATGGGCGTCGAAAGTGTTGCCACGTCTCATAACAGGAGTGAGCCATCAACATCGGAAATAGTTGGAGATGAATTCTACGTCGAGTTCTACGGTCGGGAGGAGCGGAAGTAATACTTGTTCTTCCTGTTCCACTGCTACTGGAAGCAGCTCCTCCAGCAGCACTAGAGATGAAAGAAGTCGCGTCATCAAGCAACCCTATCGTTCTTCTAAACTAACAGAGGATTACAAAAGAGCCCTATGTGCCGCTCCGTTGCCGGAAGAAACGGTATCCAACGAAGTTGCGAAATTTATGGTGACAGCAGCATCTGCAACCGCCGAGCAGTCTATTGGTGGTGAAAAGCCGACTCTGACGAGAAAAGAACGAGCAAGGAAGAAGAAAAAAGAGAAGTAGGAGGAGGAATTATGGATGGAGTTGCTACTTAAGGAGGAGATAGAGAAGAAATTGCGGAAGGAATCGCTAGTTTGCTTATTTCTCGAGAGCACCAGTGAGAAATAGCCGCCCGTCTCTGTTGCTGGGAAACGTATTGGGGGGTGAGGTGCACGCGAAGGTTTATCATGGGAAGAGCAGCAGCATTTAGCTTGAAAAAACTTCTGGGTCAACATAATGGAAAGAGGATCTCGGCTTTTACGGAAAAAGCAGTACCTTGTTGGGTACCTCCGCTGATCAAGTTCCAGTGCACTCTATCTTAGATATTGCGACGTCTTTATTTGCCGGAAGCGTGAAGATCAACATCAATAGGCGCATTTTCAGGTATTTTCGTCTCTACGGCTGTCGCGAGCGAGAGGCACATGCATGCATGAAAGTCGATAAGTGAACAGCCTCTACGACTGAGACAGGGTCAAGTTCACTGATACGAGGTGTGTGGTCCTTACTTCATTCGCGGGAATAATTAGTTGGTGGTGTAGACGGTAGCATTGTATATGTATTCGTGTAAGCCTTAGTCTATTAGGAGGGCACGGTTGTACAAAGACGTACGCTGAATCAGCTATTTCAAAATGAGCAATATTTTTTTAGGAATCCAAGAAGAGGACATTGGCAACATCACTCTTGCCCCCTTTTTCAAGTAGAAAAAGGGGTCAAGGATGGGACCAACTGCGCTAAGGGGGTACCTTTATTCATGTGTATTAGTTATTTGTAAAGACGAAGGAGCACTCTCTCCTGTGTGTGGTAGTATCATTTGAATAGTTGAGCTCGGATTTCCGAGACAGAATGACGCATGTGGTTCGGAATTTTCACTCTCAAATTCTCTCGATGAAGATTCAATCGTTATGTATAGTTCTCTTAACAAGTGGTTGCTTGTTCATCAGACTTTTCTATCTTTTTTTCAATTCCATAGACAGTTGGTTACGAGCGTAGAACAAGATAATTGTAAAGCATTACTTATATCGCCACATGTTGTCGTCCTATTGTCACATGTGCTATGTAGAAGAAGATCAACATTTCTACTCGCTATGATGAGGCTTGTATATGGTCATTTAAACAACGAACAGGACTTGTGAGTTGGTGTCCTGACCACGTACTGGCATCTTCCACTAAAAAAAGCACTTGGCTTGTTACACAAGCAACATTATAATGTGGTGTTCTCGATACCTGCACGGTGTTACAAAAGTCAAAACCAAGCGACAGAGTACCGTGCAATGATTCCCGCAAGCACAACCTCTGGCTGGAAGAGATATTAATCTGTCTCTGAGTAGATGTAGATGGCTCATCCCCCTGTACTAGATTCATGTGCCCTGACATGTGTAAACTAAAATTTTTGATCTTTTGCTCCTCAAAAGAGTTGCAAGCCTCAAAAGAAGAAGAGAAACAAAAAAATGCCAGCTCATAAGCAAATGTCAACTGATGGTATTCAGATTCACGGGATCTTCAGACACAGAAATATGATATCTAGGAGTATCTATTCATAGTGTCTCTTTGTGGGCAGAACTCCATTTTCTGCTAACGATCGTTAGGCTTTATAGGTATTCGCGGCTATCTTCTACGACGAGTGTGATTTGCGTACTTACTGACTCCAGCGTCTTCCAACTAGATCTCACGTGTCGTGGAGGTCAAGCACAAATGCTACTCAACATCCACTACTACACTATACAACGAAAGAACGTGGACGACAAGAGGATGTTTTAATGCTATGCTAAGATCATACACCACGCGGGAATGGTTCCTGAGAATTCTGGGCGGCGGGATGAGGGCCATCCTCGTAAAGCCTCAAGAGCGGTCGCAACGGTCCACTTTGAGCAGCTCCTTGTCGTGAATCAGACAAAGACTTGCTCGCGACCGGGTCCGGGAACTCCTCAGCATGAAAATACCAGTGGCGCGAGAGACCAAAGCCGGTTGAGGGGAAGTTACATAGATGGGAGTGAGTTTCTGAGGACGTACGTTGCTGGGAACACGCCAGTGCTCATTCGAGGCCTTCCGATATGCAAAGCAGCCTGTGAAAAAGTCTTCGATGTGGTGCGGCTTCAGAAGTCGTACGGCGACCGGGACATCGTCGCGGCGCCTCAGCAGCCTGGTCGCCCTGACAAGTGGCTCGAGGAGGAAACCCTGTGGCGAGGAGAGGACTCATCCCGGCACTGTCGAGAAGGCAACCGGGAAGAAAGAGATCAAGGAGGCAAACAGGAAGAAGGAGATCAAGGAGGCAAACGAGAAGACAAAAGTCTCCTGCAAACAGGTAATGGCATTGCAATAAATGGTGGACAACACGAGCGGACGAAAATCCTAGCTGTAGCAGCACGACGAGTGGAGATGAAGTTTGAGCATTTTCTGCGATTAAGGCGATTTCGACCTTATCTCACTTGTAAGAAGTTTGAAGTAGCTTTGCATGTTTAGCCACTTATCAAGAAACATGGTCGAGTTATCCATCGGCGGAAAAAATGACCCTGTCTCTTCTAATGCAAAACCTGTCGAGATTTTACGCAGATGGTGCGGGATGCTTGGACACGTATTTTCCTTTCTTGCGTGATGAGTTGGGGAAGAGCGATCTGATAAGATCGCAATGGAGGGCATCTTCGCGGGAACCTTCGCTGCGTGAGAAACTCGGCATCACCTCGCCGCCTGGGGCTGTCCCTCTGTATGAACGGAAATAGCAAGATAGGTTCACAAGCTCATTTCTATCGTGTGACTTGCTTCAGTTGGATGTAAATCGTCGCGATAGTGTGTAGATAAGCTTTAGTTTTGTCAAGGAGATGTTTCAGCTTTCATTCCCGAAGTGGGGAGCGCCGTCGTGCATGCAAGGAGCGACCAGTGCGCGCCTGCGGGTCCGTGCCAGTGAGTCCTGACGCGGCACCTACGTGTCCACTAGATGACACAGGGGATGCGCATCCTAGGACGCAAAACTCAGCGCGAGACCTAAAGTTTCAGAGCATAGACGATCTGCTCTCGCGCTTTTGTACCACCACGACCCCTGACTGCTCTGATCATCCGTTTCCTGCGGACGACCTCGAACATCGAGGTAGGTCAACTTCTCCAGCAACATTTTTAGGAAATGGAGAACAGCAAGAGCGAAATCAAGATGCGTCTGGCGCTTCCTCCACGTGGGCGAAGCAGGCTTTACCGGGGTTTCGGCCAAAGCTAGCACTTCGTAGTAGCGAAGTGTGGCTTGGCAGTGGTACGAAATCAAGGCTGCACTTTGACAATCAAGAAAATCTTTTTCTGCAGTTGAGAGGCAGAAAGCGTGTGATTCTGATGCCGCCCCTGGATGAGAAATACCTAGTCGAGCACAACACCCGTCTTGTCAAAAGATACTACCGACTATCGTCCGGGGCGAATGTTGCTGCTAGACCGTCTGGCTGTGGTGCGGAGTTGGACGACACGTCGACGGATGTTGAGCCGGTGTTCTATCGGGAACTTCCGCATCTACCTTCCTCTGAAGAACCTTCAGAGATCGATCGACTTCGTGCGACGCGAGGTGAGGAGAATAATAATAAAGATAGAGGTGAACATCATAGTACTACAGAAGAAGTGGTTACGAATTACGCGACTTTTGACTGGGAGCATCCGCAAGATTCGACAGAGAGACTGCGCTCCGAAAAACTGCGCGTCCACGAAGTTGTAGTGGAGGCAGGAGAGCTGCTTTACATCCCAGTTGGTTGGTGGCACCAGATCGAAACCTGCGAGGAGGCAAGCACTTGCGACGCGCAGCCGGTTGAGGAAATGTTTTCAGGCAATGATGGGACGTCGAGGACGCCTCCGTCCATACAGTCATCAGCGGTAGGATGCAGAAAAGAAGTAGGGCTTCCCGTTGAAGATGACGGTGTTGACGATGCTTCCTGCAGCACCACATGTGAGGAGCCTGTTGTCGCATCGACTGCTGTAGTGCACGAGCAGCGTCGACCTGGGGACACGAGAATAGCTTGGAGAGGAGCAGGGCCACAAAGAGCAGCACCGCTGAACCTGAGTTACACTACCTTCTTTCATCCGTTTTTCGTGCGCGTGAAAGGCGAAAAAGGTGTGTGGGTTCCAAACTTGCGGTATAAGCGTCTCCAGCGATGCCTAGGCCTCATTTCCGGCGACCACGACGAAAGTCCCGTTTCCCAGGGCGGCCAAGATGAAAGGCCTCTCTTCAAAAGTCACACCAACAAAGAAAATGCATCATGGGCGTCTGCATCGCGTCATCAGCTGACAGCGTCTTCTTCAAGTGTTGGGCGGGCGCATTACCGAGCTCCTGCGCCCATCCCAGAACCTATCCGTGATGGACCGCCGAATATGGATGATGAAGATGACGAAAATGAAGACGATATTCACCTCCAAGCAGGACAAGAAAACGTTGTTGGGCGACGACAACCTGTGCCTCTACAGCAGAACGATCGTGTGGTTGCGGCTCAAGAACCTCTGGTGGGGACAGAGCAGGGCCGAGGGGAGCAGCGCAGGAGCGCAGAAGCGAACCGAGAACGCATGATTCTCGATGCTGCTGACCGCTTGCTGGAGGAAAATTTTGTTTCGGGCGTTGTGAAAATGGGTTGTCAAGCTTTCATCCGAAAGAAATTGTGCAATCCGGATGCCACTGATGTCGCGCGGGTGCGCAAGTGGTTCTTGCTACGGATCAACAACCAAATGTGGCGACATAACATGCAGAGCCGCGTCTTGTCGACCGATAACATACCGGTAGAGCAAAATTACGACGTCTGGCCAGAAGACAACGAGCGCTTTCCCTTTCTCGGTGAGCTGCGGAAACGTTTTCCCGCAATCCGGAACGAAATTCTGTTTACGAAACGTCTCACTAATGATCTATTATTTCCAACGGGGAAATACTTTCTTACTCTTTCGACACACATCGGAACTCAGGTTCTGAGGAGATGAGCCTGTAGGGATCCAAGCTTGAGGTAGGGAGAGTTCTAATCTGGCGCTGCGCGGTCGCGTATCCGGGTTCCAACCTTACAGAGATCCAAGACCAAACAGCACAGAAGCTGTTGACCACAGTGAAAGCAAGGAGGGAACTTCTAGTATTAAGGCCATTGTCTATCTCCAGTATTACATGGCTGCTATCTTTGACTTTGCATCATCTTCCTCGAGTAGAGGCTCCCTTTTCAACATTTTCGCAATACAACAACTCCTGGCTTCGGGAAAAGACAAGGAGCTGCCACGTAATTATAAACTCCCCTCCTCATAGTTGTACCAGTATGTTCGTGTGGAGGTGGTTGTACTAAGTTGTATCGATGTGCTCTAACATGAAGAGTAAACGAGAAGATCTTCCTGGAGTGTCTGCGACCTCTTCAGGGTGCTGGAATGTGCTCTATCTGTACCTGAATCATAAGCGTTTCGACGACAATCTTGCCCAATTGCCTGAGACACGGAAAGCCATTGAGGAGGTGTTTCCTCGTCACTACAGTCATGCCTTTGTGTCCGCACTCACGCCTGGCACACGAATTATATTATGGCTTGTGGTACTAGGACTGCTAGTGGTAGTGCAACTTCTGAATTTGAAGATTTCCTAGCTTTTGGTTTCCGAACAATTTCTTGCTCAAGTAGAAGCAAATACTTACATTACAAGCGCGGGAGGTCCATAGGTATACGCTATTACGAGGAGCAAGGACTAGAGCTATAACTTACGAGCAGGAAAAAGCCGCGACATGGATAAGTTGCTACAGATATAATGAAGTAGGACTAGAACGGGGAATTGTAGCTCTAATTATACCGCATTTTGGTCCGAGCAACCGCATGCTGCGCGTCTGGTTACCCCTTGATGGCAATGCGGCAACAATGTCAGTTGAAGGAGGTGCCGAAGAGGAAGATCTCGAGGAGGCTGATAATATGGATGTGGGTGGTACTAGGAAGGCTAAGGGCGTTTTCCTGAGGCGTGAGGAACTTCGCAGTGGAGGAACCGAAGTATGGAGGTTCGGCGAGAAGGATTCTACCCTTAGGAATCATGCCGAAGAAGAGGAGCAGAAGTCGTTGCCTCCGAAGAAGTCCGCGAACAAAAAGGCATCTTCTTGTACTGCGAATTGTAGTTCCGCAGACGATTCGAAGCTGGATGCCTTGCAAAGACGTTTTCCGGTTGCTTTGCACGTCGGACGAAAAGTCGTCTCTGCGGCAGATGGAGACCCCTTTGTGTGGTTAAGGCTAGAGATAATTGTCCATCGTTGAGAGCATCCCTGAAAGGGATTATAGACACCGGACATGTTTACAACTTAAGTACTCACAATTTATTTTTTCTCGTGAATGAGTCAGTGCGTCAATTAAACCAGTCAACCACGACTTCAATCTCGAAGCTGAAGGTTCAGGTCAGAGATGAATTAGAATCACGTATAAATGAACCCTCAAATAATATGCGGGTCAGAGATGAATTACAACTTATGAGCCGTCCTCTCAAGGCTCTATGTAAGCTTTGGAGGCACTCTTCCTCTTGTTCTCCAGCTTACGACCCATTTGCTTATGAACCGATCTAAGGTGGGACCATAGTTATCGGCATTCAGCGTGGAACTTGTCGGAGCAAACGCGGTTGGTGCTCATTGTTGACATCTGGCATCCAGAATTGTCAGATGCCGAAATCAAATTTTTGTCGGCGCTCCAGTTAAGATATAGCGAGATAAACTACAGTGCTGTGCTGACTGTATCCTCATTCTTCAAGATTAAGTATCTTCCTTGGCCTCCTTAGATATTATCCTTCGGAGGCTCTTTTTTAATAGGAATTGAAAGAATTATAATTAACTTATTTACTTGGCCTCCTTTTATATCGAGGGAAAAAATTACAAGTTAGGTGGTTGAATATTGCCCATATTTAAAGAAAGCTCGTCCAAGGATATGACAGACTCTGAAGGAAGGTGTGACGCGGTTGTCGCTCTAATCCGCCAGGCGAAATTGCGAATGGGCCGACGACTCGTTGAGGCGCATAAAGATCACCCTGACGCAGAAAACAACCTGATTGCTCTCGTAGAAAAAACGAAAGGCGTACTCACTGACGACGACTGGTGGGTCCTTAACGCGGAGAGGGAACATGCATGATAAACATTGGGATGTCGATGACCACAATGGATGATACGACCTATGTATGATGTACGATATCAGGGACACATACATGAAATGTATGATTTGTCGCAAATCTTTCTAGACTGTAGCTGAATCCTCCGCACAACATGTTTTACGACGAGTCAAAAGATTTTATTTCTGCAAGAACAAGAACTGAGATTTTCTTCCTTGGCAGAGAAGTCGCCGCGCCGTGGCTGGAAGGCGGTTTGGAATTGCGGTTTAGAGTTTTTCCTGTGGCATGTTGTAGTTCACATTGATATTTATTCGAGAACATCAGAGTACGAGTAGGTAGAACACATCTAAGCTGAGGCTCCATAGTAGGTAGAGGATAAGAATCTGGATTGAGTCACCACTCGTGTCTATGAGGACGAACATCTAACGATCCCATTTTCGAGTTGGCTTAGATTTTTGCAAGTTGTTACTAAACATCGAGTGAGTCATATTGACACTGATGAGAGATTTTGGTTTTGCTCCTCCTGAGTGACAGAGCTATTTACATCGCTCTTAGATCACTCCAAAAATGTCTCGTCTTGCGTACCTTGGTTGCGGCATGGCGGCATAATTGAATAGCCCTCTCCTCACCTCTACATTGTTAGATTTCTTCACCAAACGCATACGCAAACTCCAAGATGACTACACCAGCGTCGAAGGGTAGTAGCACTTTCAATCCGCGAAAGTATGAGCGGCCTGGACTGAAGCAGGACGAAATCGAGGAAATCAAAGAGGCTTTCGATCTCTTTGATACCGATCAGAGCGGACAGGTATTTACTTAAGTCTCCAAATCAAAGATCATGGGAGCTATGTCTAGATCAAGCGGTCCAAGATACACTATGAAAAGTTCAAGTTGCATCTGGCAATCGGACAAGTCTAAACTGATAGTATAATGTTGACGGTACTGCAGATTATATCTCGTCCAGCATGCTGTAGAGTATTGTAACGCTAACGACCTCATACCATACGTACCCGATACCCATTACTTAAGTTCCATACACCAAAATTTGACGCTGATGATTTTTACAGATCGATCTGAAGGAGCTGCGGGGAGCGATGCAGAGTCTAGGTTATGAAAGCAAAAACGAAACTGTTTTCACGATGTTGCAGGAATTAGATAAAGATGGGTCTGCGTCGCTTGACTTTGAAGAATTCCTAGACTTAATGCGGGGTCGCGACGACGAAGCGGGAGAGCATCTTCGCGATGAGATATCCAAAGTATTTGCACTTTTCGACGTCGAAGGGAAAAACTTATGGTGAAGTTCTCACTTATCTTCATAAAAGCTAGAACACTAGTTTCATCTGTTACTACTAACTTTTAGGCTTAAGCTTATGAGATTGAGATTAAGGTCAGTCTGTTTCTCTTCTTGACGTGAGTCGCACTAGCTGACAAGATTATTGTTATAAGATTATGTAGTTTCTGAAGCTTGTAACTCAGAGACCCCTGGTCCAGTGGCACTATGGCGCTGATGCTTACACAAAATAGTCCGCGTAGGACCGAGGTGCTGTTTATTTCTTCTTCTCTGCGTACTGGGATAGTCGAGTAGCAAAAGAATGCATCCTGACATTCTTCTTCATCCATGCAAAGTGATCTTCATTCGCGGTGAAATATGTCGATGTGGCTTGTTCAGGATTCTTCCCTCCTTTCATAGCATGTGATTACGGTGAAAGACGTGGTTCGGGTATGCCGGGAACTTGGGGAACGCCTTTCACTTGAGGAGATAACTGAAATCGTGAAGCGAGCAAGCAGTGACGAACAATCCCTTGAAATTACACTCGAGGACTTCTACAATGTCACCACGAAAAAAACATTCCCCTAATATGCTACTTTAGGATATGCATCGACGTCAAAAGTATTAGACGAGCAACTTGAATTTTTGCAATCTGTGATAAAGTGTCTACTCTGCTCTTCATGAATGAAACTGGCGTGGAACGGATCTAGTAGATCTCATTTTATGCAGCATTGTACTGGCAACAAGAACTTTTCGTGCGGATCTAAACTGTTGAATGTGGAAAGAAATCTGAACGGCAACTTCCTATGTATTGTTCTTGAAGCACCGGCTTCCGGAAGCTGGACGTAATAAATGTGGTGGGCATGACTGGCAACAACTGTTCGAGGGGTAATCTCGTGCACGAAGGAGTCCTAAGCCAATTACAACGTGACCTGTTCTGGGAGCCGCACTTCTCTGCTCTTGATGCCGAAAAGCACTTGTCCCATGATGACAAAAAATACTTCTCCCGTTCCATGTAGTCTGCCATCCCAAAATTGGATCATCACCAACACTACTGTGCGTATACGGCGAAAGAATGTTGCACGTTCCTATGTTTATCGGTGCAGGATCCATTCTTCTAGTGGTCGTAAATTAATGATAATTTCTCCGTCTCATATGCACCCACTGGAATGAATGAGCTACTTGCAACAACGATGGTTAAGTTCATGACATCCAAGTTTCAGCCTGTGATAGTAACTCCTTTGTGCTGCCGATGAACAAAGATTTTTCCAGGCATCGCAAGTTCTAGCTTCTGGGAACGTTTTGTAGGGTAGCTGATATTCCGTGTGGTCTAGTAGTGTCTAGGTCTAGGGTGTCAGTATCGAAATAAAAGGGACCATGAGCAAGACGATTTCTTTGTCCTCTTCAACATTGCCACGACATACTACTCTGTAGTACTTATGATGACTGGAGATGACATAGTCTTAGTCATCAGGTCTTAGTCATCACTTGTACGTAGTATACTAGATGTGAAGATATGGTTGAGATCCAAGATCGTTGACGTTTTGTTGGATGTTTACTCTTTGACCCAAGACGAGGACTAATATTCTAGTATCTATCATGTACATACTTCTGTAGTTTTGACTAACAGTAACAACAGTAACAACAAGATGGAGAGTTTTTCGAGGACAGTGCAGTGCGTCATGGCCGGCGACATGGACTACGTTGGGCAGAAAAATGCGTATTTGAATTTGTTTTTATAGCTTAGACATCCCGTCTTGCAATACTCCAGACATTAGCTATAGTAAAGGTAGACCTCTCGTCTTGCAATAAAGACATCAACATTGGCTAATATAGCTATACCTATAGATTTAGATATTACCTGCGACTAGTAGTAAGCCACGTCCACACGTTACTATCGTCCCTACCTCCAAATGCTCGCAATAAATCACTTTCACTACTGCAACTACAGCTACGACGTCCAGGCCGCGCTGATATACAGCTTCACGGTCGTAGGGTTGGCGGTTTCATACTACACCGAATTTTTCATATGGTGCTTCTATTAAGGCGAGTCATCTCATAATAGTTGCAATCAGCACGACGACCATTGAATCTTTAATAGCTTTTATCATTTTTTATCCCCTCTTACCCGTTCTTTACATTTCCTAGAAAGAGGAGGAGCGTGGTCAGCATGATCATGATGTGTAATACTAGAAGTAGCATCGTGCGATTTTATTTTGGTACAACTAAAATTTTCTCTAATGGTTTCTTTCCCTGATCGGGTGTGCGGTCGCAGCAGTAATATGTTTACCCAGTTGGCCAATATTCTTCCGAAATCCTCTGCCGTGGCAACCAGCAGACAACCGTGAGCGGTATAGTTACGAAGACTCTGATCTGAGCGAGGAATCAGGAGACGAAGCTAGTAAAGACGATGCTGCAGATTAGGCGCCATGCTGCGAAAGACACCATGATGATGAAGGCGATGTAGTGCTAGTAAGTAGATTATAATGAATATCAATATGATTCGTGTGTGTTATCTATGTCATGTTTGTTTTGGTGGGAAGGGTCATGGTCATGGGTGGAAATGTCGTGTCCCGACACGGACAGTGTTTTGATAATTCGTCGAACCATGATAGAACCAGCACTTGTTGACACGATTCTCGCCACACACATACAGATAGACTGCACGCAGATCTGTCACCCCTCCCTGCGACCTCCGGATGCCCCATCCTTGCACGCTTCATCCTTGCAAGTGACCAAACCTGATGATGCTGTCGACCCATGACACCGTTGACCGTCACCTCCCTTAAAAATTCTTTGACCCTCTCACCACTCCCAAGAAAGCTTCCATTGACGAGTCTTTTTTGCGCATCACACTTTCCCGAATCAATTTTCCTGATCAACTGGTATGGTACGCATCTATGTTTATACGGTTGTTGGCGTCAAGCCAGCAAATCATATCATGCACACTACAATGTGGTAGTTTAAACTCAATTCTTCTACCGCACTGAATGCGTCCACGACTTACCAGAAGGCTAGGTACTATCGAAAATCTGTATTTCGCTGTGTAGCCTACTCCAGTGTAAAGTAAGGTCACTTTCTGTGTCATGAAAAAAATGTGTGAGGGTGAGGTGGATTTGCTTGTAGGTTCGGGCCACGACCCCGATTCAAGTCACGCGGTGGTGCACTTGTAGACAGTAGACAACAACAAAAAAGTCGCCTATTCTAGAGTGAGAGAAAGAGAAGCAACATTTGAAGTTCGTCATCGATGTGGGCGATCATTCATCCATTGCTAGCCTGGCCTTCCCACTGGTTTGGTATTTCGATACGATGAACAGATGTTTCCTGGTGAGACACCTGTTGTATTGTACTGTAACTGAGGGAACGTCAACGTGAAGGGGACAACAAAGCACCAATTTGAAAAATTGTAGTATAAGTTTCTGTATCTATACGTCCTCTATAATGAAGTGTGTGAATCCCTAAGGAACGGCAGAGAGAGAGGATTGTGAGAGATTGAGCGTCATTTCGAGTGGACGAGGTTTCAGCTGATAGAAATGAAAACGGAAAAGACCACTGCAGTCGTTTTCACCAATTTGCTAACCATGTAGTAGGACCTAGTCCGTGGTCTACGAGCAAGCCCATATTCTTGATAAGCATTTTTCCGTGGAGATTTCTAATGCAAAGATAGGTATACGATACGAAATCCTGATACTTTTCAAACCGGTCGTCTCCAGAGCAAGTAAGCAGAGAAGAAGAAAATCCAACATAATTAAGAATAAGTCAAAAAAAAACCACGATCATGTCACGAGAACGGCCACAAGATTAATACGCGTTGTTGGCGCGGCTCTAGGGCTGTGAGTTGAGCAGGGATGCCCGAAGAAGGTGAGGAGGGCCCTCCAGCTGGAGGAGAGGAGACGATCATCCCGGAAACTGGGCTGCATGTGACCTACACACCCGAGTGGATAGAAACGTGGAACAAAAATCCGACCGAGACAAGTATTGCTATTGTCTGAGCAAGATTGAATCAGATTTTTTATACTTTAACCGGAGATGGCGATATGAAGCCGCAACATCTTGATCTTTATTGATAAATCTGGAGACGATGGAAATGCTCGAACAGAGCAGGACGGTGACGCAAGCATGGTGGTAGGTGACCTCTCACGAGCTTACTACCACGTCCTCAAGAATTGGGCGAGTTTACTTCTAGTCCCTATTCGCAATATATAAGAAGTATGATATAATGATCTTTCGTATTAGATTTCTTACCGATAATAGTCAGTCTTCGGTCTGTGTGGTTCTTATCCAAGTAACACCTTCCAATAAGCAGGTATCCACGAGTTGCGCGAGTTGAGTGTGACGATTCTATTCCGGGATGAGATCCTCGCTGATTTCATATATTACAATCTCATGCATTGCCGGAGCATATGCTTGTCGACGATGGGAACAGCGGTTCTACCTTATACTTATTTTTCTGCACTGTTGTTGTTTTTTTGGAACGACTCGCTCCTACATCTACTCTACTTTGCTATCCCTACTGTTCGTACTCCCACTAGTACTGCTACTTCGTACAACTACTCCTTGTCCCTACTGCCTCCAGCTTGTATTTTCACTACTGCTTCTAGTCCCACCACTCCTGCTCCACCCACTAATACCCCTTCCGGCAGATTCTCCTCTCAATACTCCTCGTCACTCTCCACTCCCAGATCTTTTGCACCGTGATGGAGTCGCTAGCGTTGTCGATGACAGAAGCGAGTTCATCTTTCGAGGTTTTGTTCAAGACCTTTGCTAGGGCAAGCTCAGAAATAATCCTACTTGTAGTGAGGTATTTGAAGTATATTTCTCAGGATGAGAGATCAACAACATCATGCTTGGAATATTTACTGAGGATTTGATTCATTCGGTGTAAGCAATTCTTTGTGAGGTCGTACTATGAAAGAGATATCCTTCCTTGTGAGGTTACGTTCACGAAAATTTAGGGTAATAAATGGATGCTAAAGTAGCTAAGGGTCGTCTATGTGAAAGAATCTGGTCGTAGCACCACCACCTTGTCTAACATCGCGGACCATATGAAGCGGCACCAGGATGCGGGATATTTTACAGCAGAAGAGGCGAAGCTGATGGTGGACTACGCAATGGGAACATTCTTTAAGCACTTCACCCTCTATCGAATGTGTCTCGATTTCGTTCAGAAACCAGCCAGGAGATTCATGGTAAGTTGCATTCTACTTTGTTCTTTAAATTTTTATACTAGAAAATAGGTTCTTCGGAAGTTTAACTTTCAAACACCTTGACACATATTGAACTACATAGTTAGTAGTGTGTTGCACCAGTTGCTGTAGATTCTAAGAATTACTCGTCAGCATGTGGGTACTAGACCATCAAGATCAACAAGATCATTTTCAAGTTTTGATAATCATTCAGTGTGAAGTGGCATTAGAGGAGCCCTCTTTTCCACCGCCAGTGCTTGTCGGCGCAGAAAATATAAGTGAGAAAGCTCGACAAGAGGCCGCTGCGGCAGGTATTCTTGAGTCCTCTCCTGAACTAAAATAACTTGAACTTCTACTTTAACTTTATTCTAGTTACAATGACAAACAACTACAACGGGACCAAGTATTATTTATAACAACGAAAATTTATGTCTTGATGTAGGTGTAGCAACAAATTTCATGCTGCATGTAAAAAGTTTAGGGAAGATAATCCGCACGTCATCACTGGTTAACTACGTCATGTTTCACTAGAAGCAAATATGGATCGAATCCTTCTCCATTCATCGTAGACACGGACAAATCCTTATTTTTGGTACTAGTGTCCAACATGATCGATAGTGGACCCTTTTTTCCAAATTTGGATTCAGTCCTATTCTGTTCTAAACTTTTTGGTGGATCCATTCCTATCCTATCCTATGTATCGTAAACTTGATGTCCTAGATTTGCCTGCGGAGTCAGCCGGAGGAGAGGCGAAGGGCGGAGAGGCTGAGGAAGTAGTATACGACGGCAACGAATTGTCACCAGAAAAGAAGAAGATACTTGATATGAAAATAGCCGAGTCAGAGGGCAGGATACGGAACAAACTCGGGGATCTACTCGAAAGAACAACTAAAGGATAAGGTGGCACGAAACGAAGAGAAATTATACTTTACTTATTTACAGCGTAGGCTGCTCGTGGCAGAAGCAATTTTGATGAAACAAACAAATACGTTTCCAATTACATCTGTCTTCTAATTCTTGACTCCTGATCAAATAAAGATACACAAACGCAAATAATCCTTTCCATTCGCAAACAGTGCGTCGTCTCTGTTACGTAGATATGCGTGCAAGTGAGCTAGCGCATCACTTTGATTTAAACTATCAGATAATAAGCATGAACAACGATCATGGGAAATAAAGTTACATTATGAACTCATTTCGGATCCTCATGGGGAATTCCTCTTTTGATTTTGCCTCGCAACTCCATTCGATTATGCAGCATTGACCGACCTGAGTACTTTGTAAAAAGCCTGCCATTTTCATGATCCTTGTTATCATGAATCTTGTATCGTTATTAATGGGGTTCTCCGTCGCTCTCCTGCATGGTGACTGCCGTGTTGGAGAAGCCTGATGGCTGTGTTCTTATGCGTCTGCCTCCGTGTTTTTATTATCTATCATCAGAGAGGCCCAGGTCCTCATGGTCTTGCCTTCTCGACCACTAGTTGTACATGATCAGCGAAGTAAAAAGTGGCGCTGTGTAGCTGACCGGAGATAAAAGTGCTGCGAGGGATGATCCTCTAGGTAAAAAAATGTAATTGTGGTGGAAAAGCTGATTGTGGTTATTTAGAAAATGAAGGTGGTCTATTACTTATCTACATAAGTAGTTCGTAAATCCACCACCTGGTAGACGTAGAAGTGTAAGTATTATATTTCTTGTTCAGCAACATTATGTAGTTTCGGATTTGGGTCTCTATATTTCTAGTTTTCAATTTTGGACAGATGTGTAACTAAGGAACGTGTGTAATTGATTTATTGGTGTTTGGAAGCTTAAATGGACTCGGTGGCTGCCACATGGATCATCTTTCGTTTTCTGCGAAAGACGCAGGTCTCTGTCTGCTATGCTTCTACAGCCCGTGATGTCACGCACCATCATCGATCGCTGAGCCGCGGTCGGGTCGAGTTATGCGGTTCAACTGCAGAAGGGTACATACTTAAATGTAGAGGCTCATTGGCGTAAGGACTCGGACTCGCCGGCAACATGCCCACGGTTGAAGTGGTTTGGTGGTTTCTTACCCTGCTGCATAAACGGTCTCAACAAGAGAAGCTTCCTGTCTCTCTCCGTTTTGGTTAATATTTGAGAGCAAAGCAATAGAGGTGTTGGTAATAATTCTGGTAAATCTTAGGCAGATCATTGCCCAATAGATTCACACCGTCAATAATTTTGTTAACAAGTCACGCGGACTACTGATAAGAGATATGACATCAGTCTTTCGTCATATAGGTTTGGTCATCGCCTTGTACAGGGGAAAATATTGTAGGGGTTCGTTGTCTTCTGTCTGTAGAGTGTGTTGCGGCAGTGCGATGAGATATTTTAAGGTTGAGACGATTATCAACGCAAGCTGAAAGACGCAAAAAACTAACTTCGTTCGTCCCTCGTCCGATCCCTACGTGTCATCCCACCGGGGAAGACAGTCGGGACTCCCAAGTGTCTGCCGTATTTGGTTATTGTATATTTAAGTAGCTAGGAAGGTACAGATACGCGTACTGAAGGTAGTAACAGTGCCGTAGTTTTGAGTGGTTTCTTTTCTGTTTTGAGATTTTTCGAAAATTTATTAGGTTGCATGGCCACTTCTCAGACTCAATCTCAACAAATTAAAGTGTCATATGCAATTTCGAGCACTATAATTGGTAATAAAAATATGATTACATACACTGCTATTTGGTGACGAGAACATGCATTTGCGGTTTATTTCATTCGGTCTTGGTAGTTCTACTTCTAGTTTGACATCAAGATTACACTAATATTGAAATCTTGTTTCTATCGTACTTTTTCTGGGGGTTTCCAAGCTTTGCCATATCCATGACTCGATATGGCATGCCAACCATGGAATTGTGCCCGACATGCTGGATATGGGGAACATACATTGAGGCATCATGATCTCAATCGGGTTGTGAGTAAAATAAAGATGAAATAGGTCTGCATGAAAGCAGGCGCGGGTAAAACTGAAATGTTCAAGTGGTGAAAGAAGGAATCCCATTGCTGTATCGCGCATTCAGTGCTTGGGTTCTTTGAGCAAGCGAGCTAAGTAGAAGTGAATTCTTCGACATGCGACAAAACTTCTAGTTGTGTAAAAAGTAGAGGTATCTGATATTTACGTGAATAGAAGAAACTCTTGTGTGTCTAAATCTACTTTGTCATTGGCTTGGTCGCGTGCACATCGACACGCTCGCGCTGCGAGACGAAGGGGCTTACATTTATCGTAGCACGGAGTCTATATATCTTGTAATGACTAGAGCGATGGAGTCCTAATTCCTATAAGAGAAGTCGTCAGGGAAATCTTAGGCAGGTTGCCGAATAGATTCACGCCATCAACTGGCATAAGTGTCGATCTGTTGCGCGCCTACTTCCAGCTACTTTGTTTGTTTGGAGAAGAGTTCTCTTTGAAGAGTATGAAGTGAGCGCTAAGGTGTAGTTGGTTGCGATCTTCATTATTATCAAGTTCCACTAACGTGTACGTGCTATGTCTTTGTCTATTTGGTTCAGTTGTTGTGTAGTTGGTCCCTGTTGACATTTCTTTGACGGGTGGGTGCCATGAGCGAGCGGGAGAAGGCACCTCTCAACAGCAGTGAAGCTCAAGAAGCTGCTGCATCGCCCACGAACACGATATCAAATGATGAAGGAGAAAAGGCGGGCCACGAACGCGGCAGAGCGGCTAACAACATTAAGCATCTCGATTCCTACATTCATTGTTACATTTACATTTTTTTAGACTCTTTCGACATCGACTCCCGCCACCTTAATTGTGTCATCCTGGAATGAACTAGAAGGCGTCTTATGCGCAATTTGTAGACCATCTCCTCATGATCCCTAGTTCTTGTGCACATCACCATCCTTACTGGCAACGACTTTACTCAAATTACCGGCACCGCCTCGGTGCATCTGCTGACTTTACTCAAGAAGTCGCCCGGCATCAGGTAGGAGTCCGGGGGCGCAATGTGAAGGATCCCCAACCTAACCTAACCTCACCTGCCTTTCGTCTCCGCTGCCAATTAAGTGCTAGTACTTTTCATCCACTTGCTCTAACAAAGAGATTTGCCTTGGGGAGGTCTTAGACGGAGAAGCTGCTTTACAACGTGCTGGTGGCCATGGGCGCTTTCAATTGCGGAACGTGGTGGCTCCACTCGGCATCACGTATATGTCCGTGTCAATGGTCGTGTATTCGTTCACGTTCATCGCCTCGATTCCGAACTTCGAATGTCTTGGCCACATAGACGACACGATTAGACAGGACGCGATAGATTATGGGTGTAGGGAGTCCATCTCCAAAAGTCATCTCGAGGAACAAGACAAAAGAAAAATGGCACTCAGATGATCCCTGATATGAACTCCCTACACCTCTAAATAGCAAATGACATCAATGCCGGTGGGGGCAGCTTGAAGCATGACGCTCAGTGGTTGAGTCCTAGCGGCAGTGGACGAGAAACTGTTTGGACAAGTGCAGGACCGGGAAGTCAAGTAGAGGAGGCGCCAAGAGCAGAAGCTAGTTCATGGAGGCTCGACGACGAAGCAGCAAATTTAGATCGTGGCATTTCCAACAGGGACAGCAACAGCGATGTTGACACGTTGCAGAAGCCTTCAGGTACGAGATCTTCACTTTTAGATGCTGAAAGCCTGACGGGCAACGGTGAAAGGTCTGCTGCCAACCTGCTCGGCAACGATGTTGGTTCCAGAACACCTCCTAGACCGAGGCCGATCGTTCCTCCCTATGCCGATGGACACAGTGTACTAGGCAGGAAAGAACGCGACTGGGACGATGTTACTGGTAACCGCATGTTTCTGTCGGAAAGTGGCGGAGGACGAGGACTGTCGGATTACGCTGACCGCGATGACGATGAGCTGCGAAAATTTCTAGACGACGCTTCGTTCGGCTTCGCTCGTCCACACCGGAGGGACACCGTTGTAGACTTGCTACAGGATGATCATATGAACGCTGGGCGATATCAGTCTTCTCATCCTCAGCAGCAGCAAGTTCCTACAAGAAGGCCGCAGGTAAACGTAGAGAAACTTCAACAAGATGACGGAGACGCTATTCTTGCGCTAGCTCCTGCACCAAGCACGACTGGATCAACATCTAGTCAAGATGAGCATGATGAAGCAGTATTGACGTTTCCGGACCACGCCAGTGCATCAGCATCGACTTCTGGGCACTTGCTAGAGCTTCTGCTGGGAGTCAAGTCAAAAGCCGAGAGCATTGCCTCATCCACGGCGTCAACAATGGCACCTCTGTCACGTGCCTCCAGTGTGGTTTCGCTGGGAACCGGTAGCAGTCCGTCGATCCTCTACCGCACAAACCGGCTATCGACAACAAGACCTCCGTCAAGAGACGCGAGTACCACGGTAGGAAGTTCTTCGGTGCTGAGCCTGCAAGACTTAGGAGTTGCCAAATCTTGACATTTTGATGAATCAATTATAATCACATTTCGATCATTGTTAGTAGGTGAATATATACATCGTTTTCTTTGCAAAAAATTCTTTACAAATAGACTTGCTTCTAGGAGAGGCAGAGAAAATAAGGGCACCTAAAACTGCAAGGAAGATCACCTCTGCTCTAATGTAGGACTCATTAGACGGCGTCTCGAATGCGCCTCTACGCGCCTCGTCACCGGCTCTCTCTGTCGGGCACGGGAGTGCTGAAGACGGAGAAGCTCATGAACTCTCTTCGACTCTCCCTCCGATGCTGACGCCGACAGGAAGTGGAGCAGCGGACGACAGTAGAGTGGACAGAGGATCTTCTACGTTTTCGACACCTGGTGTTCAACAGGAACCACAGCTAGCGGCTCCTCAGAGTTCGAGAGGTTTGCCACCTATCTGGGCAAGAAATCACTTACCTCTTCCTCCCCTTTGGGACGGCATTGCGAGTGATGAGCGCCTCGTTGTTCTCCCCTCTAGCAAAGGTGGTGACACATCAAGCATATCGGAACTAAGAAGTAGTCGACGTGTAGTTCGCCAGCTCGTGGAGGAAGATGCTACTACACAACGACGAAAGGCCGCACCAGGTGCGTCGGATGGGACTGTGCTGCGTGGGAAGACGATGCATGTGCATCCATCTGCGGATGAATCTGTAGCAGATGCTAGCAACCCTTCTAGTAGTGGTGCCCCCAATGTTGGTATTTCATCGCCTCATACTACAACCCGACAGGGACAGGACTACCTGCAAGACAATGACGTGGGACAGCCAGCATGGACCCGACGGAAGAACGCCGGACCATGGCGAACGTGTACTCGTTCACAGGCTTGTGACGCGGCACAGACGAGCGCCTACCGCATTGTCAGCTCGTTCGGCTGGCTAGCCCAGTTGCAGATGGAGTGTGATCCAGCAGCAGAAAGGAAGATGGCGGGGTTCGGTCAGGCCTACTTTTTCTTAAGGTCCTAGGTAGTAGATTCTTATTTACACTCGTATTCGGGGAAAACATTTTTCTCGGTCAATATATACAGAAAAGCGAAAAGCATAAATTCTCATGCTCCTGAGTCCGGGCTCTAATTATTGGCTTCATGTTCGGTGGTCTAGTTTTTCCGAGTCTAGCGGATGTATTTGGACGGAAACCTGTAAATCTAGCAACCAATGGAGGCTGCATCCTGTGTTTGTTGCTTATATTTCTCGTGAGTAATGCGCGCATTCCGCAAACCGACTACAATGCAAGTTTACAGAAACAGGGCCTGAGTAGTTCGTCCGGCTCAATGGCACAGAACCAAGGTGGAACAAATTACGACGGTTTGCTTCTTTCGTCAGAGCGCCCACTGCGATGGCATTCGTCTGTGGGCGACGTCGAGCAGTGGTCTGACAACGACAAAAACCTCCTTTTCCCGTTTCTAGAGCTGTCGCAAGGTGTTGCCTATACGACGATTATTTTGGCTCTGTTCTGCTACGGATTCCTTATTCCTGGGCACTATCTTGTTGCGTTTGTGCACGCTTCGGAGCTTTGTGACTCGAAGCTCCGCGGGAAAGCGTCGTCGATGATTTTCGTGTGCGAAAACTGCGACTACTATGTGTGTGCTTTGTGGTTCTATTTGAGCCTGTATCACGATTTTCCGAGCAGCAGCGGCTTGCAGTGGTGGTTTCTTTTCCTAGTCCTCTGGCGACTTTGCGCGGTCGGTATTGTGTCGGTTTTAACACCAGAGAGTCCACGGTTCCTGCTGGCGCGCAGGCACTTCCACACAGCAAGAGCGGTCTACGAGACAATACGGATGAAAAATTTTTCTAGAACATCATCGCCCTCTGGTGCAGCTCTGGACATCGAGGGAGCGTCTTCTATACAAGGTCCTACAGCTGTCTTGGATGATGCGTCGAAAGCAAGCAGCGCTTCCAGTGTAGGAACCTTGTCAAAGCCAGTAGGAGCAAAAGTTGTTTGTGCTGGTGCCGATGTGAAACAAAATAGTTCTAACGATCAGGTAGGCGAGAAACCGAGGGGCGGGGCAGCCAGCAAGAGTGGTGGTGGCGCGTCCGGAAGTCTAGAGAAGACGACCGCAACAGCACCATCTAAAATATTGCAAGAGGATGCCGGCTCGTTCGCAAGTACAATTGCAGCTGATGGTAGTATCGGCACTAGTGATGGTATGGAAGGAGAGTGTGAAAATCCAACATCATTATAGTCAATAATACGAGCAAGAATCTACGTTTGAAAAATAGATTTGATACATCAAATTATATCTTCACAATTCTTGTTCTTGTAGAGAATGATAACAAATTTCACTCGGCTGATGCTTCATTTAGGGAGGTGCGAGTTTCAGATTCAGCGTCGCGTGGAGCACGGCTAGTTCTGACGATATTACGGCACAATGCAGTCCTGATCTTTCGGCAGTTGATTCGAATAACAGCAATTCCGAGACGCACGTCGTGACCACCAAGACGAAGACTCAGGAGAATGTGAGCGCACCGCCAGCAGCTCGCATTGTTCTTTCAGCGGCCCCAGGAAAGCTAGAACTCGATTCCAAAGAGTTCGATCATGATGTAGGAGCGACGCCTCCCTCATCAAAATTTGGCTGTGGGCAGAATCGACCGTCATTAAGGCGACCATAAGTGCATCCTCTCCCTCAGCGTCATAATCCTTGGTTCTTTTTTATCTACTCGGAAAAGAATCTCCCTTGTCCAACAAGCGTGCAAGTATGAAGTAAGGTCTTTCAAAGAAGAAGACGAAGATGGAAAAGAGGTGGCTCTAACGTGAGTAACCGCGTCACTTCCGTGTGGGTCCTCCACGGAGAACATACCCAATGGAAGCACTCGAAGTGAAATCGACGCAGTGTCGTCGATCCCTCCTGTATCCGCAGACAGTAGCGCAAGTACTTGCGTCCCTGGCGACTTTGGTCCTCGCTCAGGAGGACTTCTTGCCTTACGAAATTTGAGCATCTCTATGTATAATCTAGAGCCACCGTCATCTCCTGGAGATTGAAATTGAAGTATCTATATAATCTACAATATGACTTTTTCTTAGTTATAAGAGAAGCGCCGGTACCCGTGGAATCAAACAGAATACCATCAGAAACATCTGCCTCACAAAAAATATAGCGACCAGGATGGCCTCTAGTACTTCTTTACAAATCGATATCGCGGAATATGGAAGGTTTCCAATTCTAACTATTGGCCAGCATAAGGACTCTCTATTCGCCACACGACGGAGCCGTGTCGAGAGTGGGGCTGATTTGACGACGCCGCTCATGGATGGACCACGACAACGGGCAAGCGCGGCATCGGCGACGAGTCTTGTGTGTCATAGAAATGCGACGAGCATATCTGGCGAAGCAAAAAGCAGAACGACATCTTCAGTCGACGCGGCCGTCCCAAATAACAGCAACCAGGTTGTAGAACATCAAGATGTTCACCTTAGTTTCAGTAGTCCACAGGCAGAGGCTTGGTGGCGCAGTAGGTATCTTCCAGGCAGCGCAAGAGGTATCAAGACAGCGTATTTCTTGTCCGCTGAGGTTGAGGACGCGCCTCCTGTGTTTGGTGTAGAAGCAGAGGTGTGTGCGCCTCTTTTGGACAAGCGGAAGAACTGTAGCAATGCTACGCTTAGTCGGAACTTAGTCGGAGATTTCGACTCGTCACTGCAGGAACAGCAGGCTGCTGCTACTTCCACCAGTGCTACTGGTTCAGCATCGACTTCTACTCTGGTGTTGTTGCATAAAGACGAATCTGCTGGTTCTCGTACATTCACGACGATGCCGAGAAGTACAACAACATTTCCAATCCTAGAGGGTACAGACACTCGGCGGTATCTCTATTACTACCCGGACGTGGACAAAAACGTCCAAGCAGCAGGAACACATCAGCTGCAAGATGGACACACTGGTGTAGTTTCACACAGTCAGTCCTCGGACATGGGCCGACTTCCATCTTCTGCAGGACATAACAAAGTCGCAGCTGAAGAACCCAGGAGTGCTGGAGAACGCAGCGTCGATGAAAATGCTTCTAAACCGGGGGCAGAAGGGCAGACACTTTCGCTACTTGCAGCCCTGCAATCCCTAGATGGTGCTGCAAAAATCAAGCTCGCGACTCTCGCATCTTTGTTATGGCAAGGGCTTGCCGTCGTAAAAGACTTGAGGTAGCGAGAGAAGCACTCTTCATACTCAATATTTGTACTAACTGAGAACTACTCCTTATATATACTCAACATTTGCACTTCTAGCTAAAAGAAGTACTACTCAACATCCTGTCTTCATACAGTTGGTTCACCACTGCTGTCGTCAATTGGTCTTTGCAGTTTATGACTCCGCGGCTTCCAGGAAACACGTTTGCGAATTTCATCGCTATCGGGCTGGGAAAATTGATAGGATACGGCAGCTGCGGCCCTCTCGCAGACTCTTTCGGGCGTAGGCAGACAATGATTGTATTGTCTTTGTCGCATTATTTGTTAATATCATAACCTCAAGGTGGTAACCTTATGCAGCACGTCGCCGAACAGATTCAACTTCAAGTCTTTACCATAACCTATAAAAATATAAAGTTTTAGTTTATAATGAGGCGCCTTCGTATTCCCCCCTAGAAAACGGTGGTCACGGATTAATTATTCCCCAGCCAGCTCCCAGGAGAATGCAGAAAGTACGCCAGAATATACTCTTGTTGAACACTCGCCTACTACCAGCACCAAGAAGGTGCAAGGCGTGCCTGGATATCGGAGTTTTGACAGCGGTGACAACAAGTGGCAAATCATATGCCCCTCCACTTATGCGAACAAGCTAGCGGCAAAAGGTTGGTTTATTATCTAGAGCCAACCTTTATGATATCCTCACTATACCTAGACCATGGTGTTCGTTCCAGTTAATTTTCTTAAGAGCATTTATATACTCAAAAGATACATTTTTTCATTTCTAGTTAGTAGCAAGTATGTTCTTCCAGTGTCAATAGTTTTCTTTCTTACGTCTCATTCTCTTCTGTGCATTTAGTTTGTTCATCTCATCCTCACAAAGTATTTGTTGTATTTATGCAATGTCTGCAGACTACTCTTACCAATACTCTTAGATCCATCTCGTTGTTGTTCCTCAACATTCCTTTTTTATCCACTTAACGATATGCACCACGATCCACCACAGCAAACAGGGAATGCGGACAGAGTACGGCCACCAAGTACAGCTTACATTTCAACCATGAAAGACCACAACTTATATTCAATCTAATTTTGCACTTACTAAGATTCTCAGTATTGCCACTACCTGTCCTCCCTCTGTCTTCTTTACCTTCGTGTTCAAGTTCACAGCACAGTTGTCTGGTTTTTCTGGTACCCACCCCACTGCCTTCCCCATCACAATCCGTGAGCCCTTCTCTACCCCACTCGGTTATGTCTGCTTCTGTGTTTTTTCCGAATGCCAGAGGAATGCCATGAAGGGACACAGGTAAGTAAGACAAGCTACCCACTCAGGTATCTGTACAGACACATAGGTACTTGTTGTCTGCCATTCACGTAAGACGATTTATACTTTTTCTTTTATCAATGGTCAAAGATGAAGGATGCACTATTCTCTTACTGCAGCCATGCAATCACTTACTTTGGATCTTTACATGTGTCACAACTTTAGAAGTGTGAATCTTCTATTAGATGCCCACTTATCCTTCTTTTCACTAACTTAATTGTTCTACATAATGATGACTAGTAAGTTGTACAGCTGTGCATGTAAGAGCACACACGAGAGAGAACGTAGATTGATCGTTCACCATAGATGATCGCTACTCCTCTTTAGTACCTTTGTAACTAATAAGGATCGTCATGCCTCCTCATGTAGGACTGTCGCGAGCACTACAACGCAATACAGTAGCCTATCCCTTGCCAGTAGTTCTACTGAGTGATGTCGTCTGCTTTTATCAGTCAACCTGCTTCATCATTCTCGTCGTATTTGTCTCGTCTATGCCTTTGATGCTGTGACAATCGGTTATAGCCCTTGTCAGTAAATCGGTGTGGCCTCTAGCACCCATCGGTCTCAAGTAACTAATAAGTCAGCACTTCACCTGTCACAATGTCCAAGCCCCATCACCTAATACTATTAGTTTTCGCCCTTATATCATAGCAGCAGTCTATGATGAAGTGCCTGCTGCTTGCGTGCGAGATATATAGATACAATGAGGACCGGAAACATACCAATATCCGAATGGAGAAACAGGGCAATGGACAGCCCTCTTAAGGCCAAATACTCTGCTTATAAGGTGTTACTCTAACTACAAAGGGGGCAAACTAATAAAGGGCAACAGAGTATTCAGTGTCCATATTTTTTGGGCATATGCACGGCTATCGACAAAAAACCAAGTTAAGGCTAATTACTTTCTAATTACTTTATAATTACTTTCGAGCTACCTTACCACTAGATACCCCACTATGCCCCTATGTCAGTCTCTTCATTGCTTTGCCTTTCCTCAATCAATCAACCACCTTAGGAAAAGAAAAATAAAAAAATGACCTCCCAGCACCTGCAGCAGACCAGCTTGAGACATTGCAAGATACATAATGACTTTTTTCTCATGAAGAGAGAGAGTTTCTTGAATTCTAAGGCCAATGAAATTACTTTCGAGCTACCTTATTTAGTCTGTCTTTATAGAAGAGGGGTGCGCGAACTATAGGGTGGAAAAGCGCGATAAGTAATCATGGGGCTACTTAAGATCCATAAATATTTTTAAGGAACTACAAAACTATACACGCCCGCACCGAAGAGGACCAGTGAACCAGTCTGGAAGTGAAAAAGCAAAAGGAGTATATAGATAGAAGAGTTTAAGTACCTGTCGAATGTTATCGGATGTTGACCTTGGTGAGCTAGCACCCATAAGCAAGGTCAACAACGCCGTTCCGATCTCATTGTGAGCACCTACCTTCCTCTTATCACCAGGTGGGACCTTATGTGGCAGAAGACAGAACTTTTACTCCGAGCGCTCTAATGTTAGTATCCTAGTACTATCTTAGTTATACTATCTAGACCTACTTCATTCCTATCGCTCCTAATTCTTTACCATTCAACTCAAGTGACTCCTAACTTCTTAGCACATACTTCTACTATCCAATTTTCATCACTTCTACTGTAGTATGTCCAACCACTCCCACACAATTAGGGTCATCCAACAAAAAAACAACACCAAACAGGGGAAAAAATGAAAATGTCCTCTCGCTGCACTCGTCTCAGTCCCGTATGAGGATTCTTTTCATCTCATGCAAAAAAGGTTATTGACTATCTAAGGTTCTGCAACTTATTGGCACGATGAAAACAACAAACTGAAAAGTTTTCAATGAAATCAAAAGGTTGCTTATGCTGCCAACGCGATTCTCCTGTTGCTGTATGTGCTGGCGATTGATCCGGGGCTCACGGAGGCTATTGGCTGTCCAGTACCGATGCCAGTGACGACCTTACTTATCCTTTAAGAAAGATATTGCCACTCTATATTTCTACTAGGTAGTGTAATCAAGTGATTCAAGCTTTTATAATTGTCACCTCTTAATACTAGAGTGAAAGGAACGGTCGTGTCTCCTAGCCGCTGCTCCTGGAAAACGTCACGTGCAGTTTCAGCATGAGGAAAGTCTGCGTTATATTTCTAAGCTCTGCTGAATGTTGTCGCCAACGCTACCGCGTTCGGAGCCATCTTTATCCTCACAGGTACCTTTTGTTGTCCTATACACAACTGTTGTTGACTTGTTGTGCTATGTTTATTTATACACAACAGTGTATGTGTATTTCTAATTCACTTATCATGCTATTCACCAGTCACATTTATAGCTAGACTTAGCTTGTTGCCTCCCAATGTAATTTATTTACAATTCTGCACTTACAGTTACAGAAACAGCTTTTAGACCGGAAAAAACCAAATTAGGTGAATTGTTCCCGACAGCGATACGTGGGACAGCTTTTGCCAGCAGCAACTTTGTCGGACGTGTTGGCAGTTTTTTAGCTCCGTCATTACCTGAGCTTGTGCCGAAAACTTTTATGCTGTCTTCGTTGCTAGTTGGTAGAGTATTAATCCTAGTAAAATTTTTCATCCATCGTATAGATTCTATTAGTTGCTGGTACCTACTAATAGAGTTGTAATGTTGATGGGTAGGCGTAGGAGGTGTAAATGTAGGTCTGCATCATGGTGCTCATGTACTGTTTACCTCTCCGTTGTAGCTCTGCATGCTCACAAGTACTGTTCTCATCTCCGCTTAATATAATCGAAGGCTACTTCTATTTGTTCGTGCTGTCCCCTATTCTCTTTCATGTTGCTCCCGACATCCGAGGTGACGGAAAACAGCCTCCTTGTGCTAGTCGTAGTCGCAGCATTATCCGCAGCTCTGATGTGCACGCTGGAGGAGACGCGAGGGAAGTCGTTGTAACTAAGCTATGCAGCGTCTCGGGTTTATGTCGGGTCGGCACAGCGTCCGTGAAGTGTAAGACTTCTCTGCGCCCACCCCAGCTGGTGCGCTGGCCATTTGGCCGAAGACTTCGGAAGTGGAAGAGACGCGGAGGAGGTCGTGGGCTCCAGGTGTATAGGTGGATGGAAAGGCATCAGCAGAAGAAGAACGAGCTCATCTATTAGCTTCACTGCTGCTCTAGTAGATGGGGACAGATCATACTGCAGGAGCCACTACCTAATCTTAGTGGGCTTGTGTAGCAGTGTGCGAGCGGCTCTAGCACGAATATACTGTAGTTCCTTCATCGCCTATGCCTTTCACACCGTTACAGTACATGCACGACTTCTGTGTGAAGAGACCCACGCCATGCCAATATTGGAAGATTGTAGAGGAGGAAGCGAGCACAGAGACGTTGATTTCTATGGCAAATAGTACAAGCAGTAGGTTGTAGCTGTTTTTGTATTTCGGTTGTATAATGTTGATGTACAACGAGGATTAGTTACGTGGAACGAAGATGATTTTTATGCTTCTTTTTGTTGGTATTTTGACTCCGTTTAGATTTCCGAGAAGCCAAGCTACATAAAGTTAGGACCTCCGGAAATCACAGTGTTCTAATTTGCGTTTGGCGATTACAGTGGTGCGTGACTATCAGTCTGTTATAACGACAAAAAAGGTCGTTTTAGTTTTTGAAGGGACAATTTATTTTCAAGACAAAAGCAACAACTATGGGATAAATAGTGGAATTAGTTGGTATTTAGTATGATCTATGTTCACGTAGTTTTTTAGCTTTCACACTTCTGCTCAGAAGACTGTCACTGAATTTGTGTTCCAAGAGATACACTTGATATTTACGATATTTAATGATCGAATTTTTGATGATTTCTTGAATTGAGCAGACGGAGTCTATGTACTCAGCATCTATGCACTCTGTATCGCTTGTATATGTGGACGATGAACAGGACCGCGTCAGCACAACTCTAACGCTTATTTCGTGCTAGAGAGGAATAAGGGAGTCCCCTTTCATTCCTAGTCGCCGATAGAAACATGTGGCATAGAAAGACGCGTGCTATAGGAAGATGCTTCTTTTCTTCTACTTCTTCCTTTCCCCTACTAGACACGAAGCACCACCCAGCACGTGCTCGTGAATCCTCCAAAGCGCATGCCGATCTTCTCGTGTCGGACAAATTTATCCACTTATCGTCCCATGAATCCGACAAAGTAAAAGCTGCTTGTTGTTCTGCTCGAAAATACTATCAATCACCTCTCGAATTCGAAGGTTGAAGAGACAACCAATTGCAATTCCAATCAGTTGCATTCCTTAATGATTGTGGCACATTGATACACACTCACACATTGTGGTGTGGATTTGTGGATTCGAAGGTGCTAATTCGTGCTGTTATATATAGTTTATTACTTAACAAGAACAATCTGACTTCTCTGCAAGAAATTGCAACGAGATTTGCGCCCTATCTTACAACCCTAGCAAGTATAATTTTTTCTTCATCTACTTCATATCTTCATCATCTGTTTAGCTTGTTCGTTGTTCTTTTTCCCTTAATTCAGTGAAATGAACCGTGATGGATTTTTCTCTTTGTTTTGAATGTTCCATCCATAATTATTTTATTTTGCTGCAACTTGAATGTTTATTGATATTGCAGTTCTTGATTGTGTGTTGTGGAAGTTGTGTTTTCTTGATTTGGTTTAAGCGGCCTTCGTACGTCGTGCCTTTTCCTTTCCCGTGCGAAGAAACCGTGGAGCAATCAGTCAATCAATTATTTCGTAGTTGCTACTTGTACTACTTATTTGAGGTGGAGGCTCATCATGAGGATATTTTTTCCACTCAGTCAGTGAATCAAAAAATAATGAAATGATCGACGCATTGCAACGTCGCCAATTAACAGAAAACCTTCTCCAGGCACGCACATCAATGGGTGAATCCTGTGCTTGTTTTCTACTGGTGGTTTTGGTCCCATTTATTACACAACTTTTTAACTCTCCTGTACGGTTCGTTTTGATTGAAAACTCAATATTAGTTTCTCTGGATTCAAAGTCAAGTGGATCCTCGTTCTTGACCGTGTCGTTGTCGATGTAAAAAGAGCTGTAAGAACTAATTCATTGTATTTCATTTCGGAAAATATATGATGCTTCTGTGTTAATTTTTTTATAAATATTTGCAAGCTAAGTCTTGAGATTGAGATTGTCTCATTGATACTGTTTGATACATTATTTAATTTACGTGGCTTCTTCATTTATTAACCACGCTCCTTCTATATTGGCGCTTGCATGTTGTTGGTAGGTGGATGATTTGATAACTCTTGGTATCATGGTTTTTTTCGGACTAAAGACAAGAAGGGTCTTGTCTCATTTCCCTTGTACGCATCTATACTCTTGATAAAGTACTAACCGGTCAATTTTCCCTTATAAATCCTACTAGGGAAAAGTCCCTCGAATCAAGATAAAGTTAAAGTTGAGTACTCTCTACAAGTCTCTACGTACTATAGATCACTTACTAAATGAACGATGTCGAGCAGCGCGAGTGCGGCCCCTGCAGCTCCTTCCGGAGAGGTTATCCCCGCCTCCTGCAACGAGCCTCTGGAAGGCCGCCGCCATGATCTAGCAGCTACAGACGAAAACGGAGGAGTGATGAATGACACCAGACCGCGAGAAGAGACCTCAATGATTCCAGTTTCTGGCGATCCGGACGCCTTGGGGTTGCACTTGAACCACATTCCGCCCCGATATACGCCGGTCGCCATAATGTTATGGACGAGAGTTTGTGTTGGTGATTCCATAGAGGTCGCGTTCCCGGGATTGGTGATCCCATAGAGGTGGCGTTCTTCATTAGAAATCTCAACAGCTCCGGCTACATCACGCACCGGACAACTAGGAGATCTTAATAGTTATACCCTATATAACTATATATTGACGTGCATTCTCCGGAGTTGTACCCGACTAAAAGAGGTTATCAGCGTCACCGATGTTGCTCGTCCATCTCTTCTAAGCAAGAACGTTTTATTTGCGAATGATGCTGTTTTGCAGGACGAGGAGATACAGAGACTGCTCGCTGAGGCCGATGGGGTCGATGAAACTACAGATGACGCGCACAGGCATCTGGTCAGCCCGCGTACGCACGACGAGGTGCCGCCACCAACTGGGCACTCTGACGGTGAAAATGGCGCAGCATTTACTACCAGTAAAAGCAATGTTATGGCAATCTTTCTACACATTCACATGCTCAGCCGCTCACTTCAGCCTTCAACTTGCCGTGGCGTTGCAGTTTTGAAGTATCTTCTGCTCTATTCATTCTTTATAAAAACATACATAGTGGTAGAACAAAGGAAGTCGACAGTTTCGGATTACTGATCTGGGCAATTCACCATGACCGTAGGACTCGAACTTTCGTGAAAAAACAACGAACCACAGGATAATGACACGACGAAAATATGAGGCTGCAGCAAGAGAGCTCTAAAGATCAACAGTACCCACCTCGCAGCACTACTTCGGTTACCACCGCGGCTGGATCGGACGCTGCAGGAATAAACTCGGGACGGTTACCATGGTCGTCAGCCGGCGCCAGCAGCGCGAGGAGCAACGTGGATGGGCAGTCGAGTGTGGCGGTGAATCAGTTAAGAGTCTTTGCACTATTGCACTCCCCACAACCATTCTTGGCCTTTTTTTATCTCAGTCATGTCTTAATACTGTTCCATGTTGGTCTAAGACCAATGGTCTTGGTGTAACGATTAACAAGGGTAATTAAGAGTCGACACGATTACTTTTGGAGGCACAAAAATGATAATGATGCTGCCACAATGCACTGTCTAAGTCGAGAGGATCCTGCCCGTGTTCGCTTATTCAACGAGGAAGAGTACCTCATGGACTGCGCAGAGTGGAAGGAAACCTTGCGCAGAGTTGCTGCTCTTAAGGCGGAAGAGGTGGAGCCTCGCGAGGATAACTTGACGCAGTTGAGGCCATGCGAGGACAACAGGCGCCCTGATGGCTCATTGTTGCCACCAGCGGTGATAGCAACGGTTGTCACGTGTACTGCCATAGCTGAAGATACCGGAAAGCCAGTCGCCGCTCACTTGAATGACGAGGCTGTGCGCCTGGCCCAAGCTGGCGTCTCAGACGAGCACCAGCGGATATTCTCCGAAAAGGTAGTGCGAGTCACGAGCGTCGAAAACTACTTCGATTATGACACACTCAGTTACAAAATAATCGTTGGAATTCGTACCTTCCTCGGTTACAAAATAACCGAACTCTATAGGTAACAAATCGATAGAAATAAGTACTTAAATTTAATGTTGACAGAAAATGCACTTCTTCTAGCAACACTCCCTAGAAATGATGCAAATTCAACTTATGTTGAAGATACCTTGTAGTTTAGGTCGTGAAAGCTTTGTGGTTGTCTTTCATTCTTCGGCTTCTAATTTTTTCCCCACCATCCGGCATACGTTCCGTACCTTATCCGCGGAGCTTGGACGAATGTGGTGCCGTGTAATCCGTGCCCTTCCAAGGTTCTGGGGAGTGCGTTGCATCCTATAGTCCGGCGCCTTTTGGATTGCTTTACGCTACACCCGTTGACCCGAAAACTCGGCACGGCGCGCAGTGCCCCCAACAAAAAGAATGTCGGCTACGGATTTGCTTGCTTTCGCACACGCGCTATTTTCGAGCGGTGGAATACTCTCATGCATGGACAAAGGTATCCACGAATGAAATGAAGACTTATTTAATCATTATGTCGTAGTTGCACTTGCACCTTACTGGTGCTCCTATTCTTGTAAACTTCTAGGCGTTCCTCTCGCACTCGAGGTTTTGTAGACGACAAACAATACTTTGCGTTTTAGTTTTACGTCTATTCTTTCCAACCATGGTCGATGAAGATCATCATAGTTTTTCATTATACCATAGATATTGCTACGATTATCTTCGATTTACAATAAGGACCTCCGCGACTTATGATACAGATACGCTCCGTGGAGTGGTCGAGCAGTGCGTGCTGGTTTGAGCAAGTTCAGGGACCTGTCCGCGTGTATGGAACACTTCTGCGCGCGCGGAGCTGCTGGCACGGGTAATTTGCACACGTTTTGGCTAAAGACAACAGCAAGAGAACGACTTCAAAATTTTGTGCGCGAAAATATCGCCAATTGGGACGCGGGTTGGCAGGAACCGAGTTTGCCAGGACGTCTCTCCCCGCAAGTTGGTTTTCCGGCCTCAGCGCACCCACGAGGAGGAAAGCAGATGATGGGCGGTGGGAAGGCAGATCATGAGCCGCGTGGCTTCAAAGGCAAGAAGGGCAGGGGAATTCGTGGAGGAAGGCACGGAAGCCTCGAAGCACATAAAGGAAGTGCTGCTCACATCTACAACGGCAAAACAGGAGGACGCAACCTGACCATCATGAGTAAAGGCGGGAGCAAAGGGTACGGCAAACGACAACACAGCAAAAACAGCAACTACAACATCAACTCCGGAAAGATGACGGTTGCGGGACGCTCCTGGAGGGGTAACGGGCACGCTGGCGCCCGTGACTTTGTGCCCACAATCGACCACCACGCCTACGATGCGAATGCACGCGCCTCCGCGCTTGCTCCGTACCGTGAGCAGCGTTTGCGGCATGATGAGTATCCAGGAGAAACAGCAATGGGCGAATCCTCGAGAAGGCCACGCGATGGACTGCCAGCTCACTTCGAGGAGGTAGACAGGCTGCGCAGAGCTTACCTCGCCGACCGGAACGGTGGACTAACTCGTTTTTACAACCACAATCAGTCGCATCGTAGTGGACTCAATGACAACGCTGCTGAACAACAGCATAGTGACAATGATTATCGCTGGCGGATGAATGATGCGCGGGACGCTTCTGCCGCAACGGCCGTGGTACCCAAGTCCAGACACGCCGCGCAGTATCGCGATGCCGACTGCGTGGATGCAGCCACATCGTGGCGTGACGACGAGCGGCGACCTTTCGCGGCCGAGTTCGAACGAGGCGCAAGTCGCTCTGTGCCCACTCCTGGACCTTACCTCCAAGAACAAAGACGCGGTACTAAGAACGGGTCGACACACGTGCATTTGTCGGGTGACAACTACAGCAACTTTCTTCGTAGCGGCTCCTCTACGCGGGCGCCACTGAGTTCGCCAAATAGATCGCAATCCCATAGATACCTTTCTTCAAGCCGAGGGGATTATCATGACGTCGAACTGCAGGAGGACCCGCATCATGCGTCTCATCTCCAAGCTTTTTCATGGTTTCGAACGACGCCCAAAGAGGACGATCAGCTTCCTACGTACACGAACCGCCCGCTGAGGGGGGACACCTCTCTCGGGAGAGAGATCTCGTCCTTCCGCGAAGAAGCTGTGGACGAGCAAGATGAAAATAATAATCATGGGCGAAATCGCGGACGAGAGCCTCATTATGCTCCTGGTGCTTACCCTGTTGGGGGCCGAGGCGGCGAGCACTACTTCAACGACAGGTACGACAGCGAGGATGGTGGTTTTTTGGAGCCCCGGCAGTTGGAGTGGCATGATCAGGATTTCCACGACAACGTGAATGCGCGTGCTGTTGGTGGATGCGGCTACAGCAGCAACGGATATTCTTCTCGTAGCATGGGGGCTCAGCGTCAGCATCAGCATCTTGCAGTTGATCAACCCGATGGGATTGCATCATCCTCAAAAGGAGGATATCAGCCAAGACGAGGTGCTCAGCACAAAAGTACAGAACGACGAACTAACTCTATCTCTCCTCGCCTCTTTGAGCGCGCTGATGGAAGACACGTGGAGCATGAGCATCAGGTGGCACCAGAACAAAATGATGGGCACCGCGGCTCCAGGGCGAGAACCCTCCCTGAACGTGGTGGAGACCATCATCGCAGCGAGAGAGGGCGCCGCGAGAAACCTCAACATTCCTCGCCAGTGGATCAGCAGCGCTTCATCCCGTCGCCTCGTGGAGTTCCACCTTCGTCCAACACCGCAGCTCGTGGCATACTCACGCCCTCGTCAACAGAAAACTACTTGACTCCTAACCGAAACGAGCGAAGCCGCAGGAACGGCATTCATGGGCGAGGACTATCGGGAAGACGGGAAGGGGTGCTACACGAAGGTACGCCAGCGCCGCATCGGGAACACGACGTCGAGGAGGGGCCTCGTCTAGGCAATCACCATGGACGCCGCGGGGGGTCGCGAACGGACTTCGACACGACCAACCACGAATCTGCACTTGGGGAAGTAGATTATTTCGCCGGAGACAACATTGGAGCGGCTCCGCTACGCCAGGTTTCGGACAGTTCCGTCTGGCAGGGACACGCGGACGCGCCACCGCGGCGTGGCAATGTTCCTCCGCGTTCTACTTCGGGGAATCATCACCGCTACAATAGCCACAAGAACCGTCGCAATGTTGCTGGAGGCTTGTTCCACCATGTTGATACCACATCCACAAGCGGAGCGCCAGCGCTGACCAGCACGACCAGATACAACATGCATTACAATCAGAGTTCCTTGTTCGACACACGACCGCAAGCTGCTGGGGCTGGGCGCTACTCTCCTGAAGAGTCAGCCAGGAGTCAACGTGTGGATTCCAGAGACGATTACGATGTGCCTCCGGGATGGCAACCGGTTGAAAGAGCTCTGCCGGGATAAGATGAGCGTCAATGAGCATTATGCTTCGGACTTTGTGAAAATCTATCCATGATCTCGTCCATAGTTGCTGAGCCATCAGGGCTGCAGGAAGACGGTACGTAATCAGTATTAGAAAGATCCCATGAGGACTAGGCGTAGGCCACCATGACAATAGATTTATCACGTTATAATTATGGCTGACGTGGAAATACTGAACAATATACAACTTGTTTTTGTGGGTGTTCTTGTCCTAGGTACTAGGTCTACCGAGCTTACCTTCATTCCACATACACGGCACTAACTCCTAGCGGTTCCTAATATAAGAACTCAAGACCACGCGTCCCTTGCGTGTATTATCATGGACATGCATTTGGATGTCATTAATTGAAGCAGGGAGTGAATGAACATGAAATTCCTCTAAACAGAGCAACCAGATCGAATGCGTAATAGCGTCGCTGCATCCAGTCCGGAGTACCGCCATGAGAAGTGACGGCGGGTGCATTTTTGAGAGCGACGAGTTACCTTCAAAATTTACAACCAAGAAAGGGAGGCTGTGAGGAGCTGAGAGATTCTTCAGATCCCTAAGCCCCGAACCCTAAGCCCCGAAGGAGGCTGGGAGGAGCATTCTTCAGATCTTGTGGCAGAACGCGCGAATGCAACACTCCACCTCGTATTGTCTGACCATTCTTGCTCTCGTTGGTTCACAAGTTTCTACTCTTTTGTGGGAGCTTGTCACATCGACTCGTCCTGCGTGTAGGGGCTATATGCCTATTAGGGATGCACAGAATAGAAAAGGTCGGTCAAGAAGGTTTTGCTTCCGGGAGGCCCTAGCCTTTCAATCAGCATGAAGGACAGCGCTTCGCTACTTCTAGTTGATCCTGCTGCTGGCCTATGTCCTGCATGCGGCAGGAGAGCCGTGGATGAGGAGGTCTGTTGGGAGTTTGATTGGGACCTCTATGCCCAGGGCCGAGGCGCTTCGGAGCCCCATCCAGTCTGAACATCGAGCGGCTGATCACATGCCGAGCCCACTGACGCTAAAATGGATGAAAGAAGCTACCAGACACGCACGTGGTGATGAATGCGAGGCCTTGAAGATAGAGCAGCGAAGAAGGAGCGTCGGTGATCATGACTTTTGGCGACTACGTTCTCTCGGGCCGAAGATGAAAGGTCGGGAGACACATGTGGAGAGATACAGGTGCAGGATCTGCAAGGTCTCATATGCGACGTCTTGGCAGAAACGACAAGAGTGAACCCTTAACCCTTTTAGGATCCCAAAGGGTACGCGTTTTCGTTGGAGACAGAAGGAATTTCCTCGCTGTCAAAGATGCAATAACTGGAAAATCGAACTTGAAGAAGATCGAAGCATGACAGTGCAGGCTAGATCAAAACGAATTGACTTGATGAAAAAACACATGGAGAAATGTAAAAAAAAAGTGGAGAAGACATAGAGAATACTAAAAGTAAAAGATCAAAAATTTTCTCTCATACTTGAACAAGATAAGACAAAAATACTTAAATTATAAATATATTTGTAAGTAAAAAGTATATATAAAATAGAAGATGACAACTCTCGCCGTTTCTTGTAGAAGTTAGTTGTTTCTTGTTGTGTGAAAGTTGCACTCCGTCATACTCCAAAATTAGGAAATTTTTTACCTTAGTGAGAAAGTTGACCGTAACTAAACTTTGTTTTTGGTTTTGGTAAATGTTATAAGTACACTTTGTTCTAGACAACTTACCCAAAAAATGCTTCATGATTATTGATCTGTTCATAAAAAATAGCGTTTTACAAAATGTTTTACGCCGTTAAACTTGCATGGACTCACTCAATGCATCTGGACTTTCTTGCACAAATCAATCCCGAGACACTACCTCAAGTTAGGTAAATGAATTAATGAAGGATCTCCTCTATAAAGAATCAACAGATTATTCATGCAAAGGGAGTGGTTCTTTCTCTCTCAGGGAGCTGAAATTTTCTTCTGTATTACTTTAGTTACAAAAGACTACATACATAGGGACTTCATCATGATTATATGCAAAACAAGATCTTCACGCGGCAAGAAGTCGTGACGTAAAATTTGCTTAACACCGTCCAGTAATGGGAAGTTCCTTGGGCGAGTCGTCGATTGTTGCATACGTCGAAATAAAGTAGACTTATTCTCTTCCTGTTGCAGGGAAGGCGGCAGAACAAAAAGACCAGACTGTGGCAGACGGCGCTCTCTTTTTTCTGGTCTCTCTATGGGATGTTGATTTTGGCAGGTACCTCCAGGTATCCCTCACATGTGCTTAAGTATCTCGTGCGACAATAACTTATCAATCCCGGGCTCACCTTGCCCCCGCTATTATTATTTTCGATGGAGAGAGTGGCATGTCTTTTTTATTTTCCACCTTCGTGTAAGTAGAAGTAGAAGAATTTACGTCATCAAATTCATGCTTCGTGCATGAAGAACATTATGAGATGGATTAAGAACCTCGGAGCACTCATTATCCTTGCTAATCGTCCTTTTATTATTTAGTATCGAGTTAAAATAATTTTCAGAATCAGATTAATCTGTGTCGTGTTTCAACTACAGACATTGCGATACGAATCCTTTGGAACAAGTAGACGAGACAATTTGTCCTCCGTTTACGGACATTGTGATGCGAATCCGTAGGACGTAGGCGAAACGATTAGTTAAACATGCCTTCAGACAACATGCTTTTAGCATTTTGCTTTTCGGTTTTCACGAAAAGATGATTGTCAGGCAAGAAATATGGACAGCTTTTTTGAAAACGTAGGTTCTCACTATCGTTCACACTTTTTTTCATGTAGTCGAACGATGTCGATATTTTTAGGCGGGAAATATATAGAAAAGCCCGCTTTGAATACTACATGTAATTGTACAACTTTTTAGCTTTAGCAAAAGCTTCACGACTTGTTCTGCATGTGGTATTCACCCGGGTCGCACACCTGATGGCGAAACTGCGAAAGTACTAGGTAGAGAAAAAATTGTACTAACAAAAATACAACAAAAGAAAAAATATGAAGTCAATAGTAAAGATGCTCATACTAGTATAAAAACTGCTGGTCGTGGCTGTGTCTGACAATTCAGATGCAAAAACGAAAAACATTTTTCATTTTAATCCTAAGGGGAAAGAACGAATCTTTTTTCCACCCGCGCATGCTGTAGATAATGGAGTTATAGAAAATTAGGAGGTGAATGTCGGTTAAATGTTGCAGTGAATATCTACTTTTGCAGGAGGACGAGTTGTGTCTTATCGAAGTTATGCCTTGCAAAATAAGTATGTTAAGGTTTTGGTTTTTTTCGAGGGCGACGTCCTTTTCTCCTACCGCGATGTGGTAGGGTTGATACTTACTCCTATTTTTATTTAGTATGCACCCGAAACGCACTGAAACTGACGATGGTGAGCCCCGAGAGAGATAGGTATCATCAAAATCATGAATATCGTCGTTGCCGGAATGATTCTTCCATTTGGGATTATGGACTAATTAAAACTTCTCGAACAGGAATAAAAAATGAATGTTATTCTTGAATGTAGTTTCTAAATCACTATGTTGCAGGCAGTCGGCAGGCTGTAGCTAGTAATAGGGACTAAATTTTCGAAGATTTTTGATATGTAATATATTTGTTAAGACGTGCTTGATCGTCGCACCACACCTACTAGACCCACGCTGAGATGTAGTCTATGCCGTTTCGACCCACTCGGGCGAGGAGGCAACTGCTTTCATGCTAGGCCAAAAGGCTTCTATAGTGGTCACGAGTGCTGGCCATGCATGTCAGAAGCAAGTATGTGACGAAGGGCGAAGATTATCGCGCTTTTGGTTCTAGCTTACTACTACAACATTCATAGAAGATACAACATAGATAGCGTCTGTCCTAATTATTACCAAGTAGTATTCTTTGCGATTTATTCTTGCCTTCAGAAAGGTTATAAATATAAGTGCATGATACATACATGCGACGGGAGGTTGTAGGGGTTTTCGGTGATGGATGGAGCTTCTGGAATCTAGCTATCACTTACCTAATATTATGTTGTAATTGACGACAATGAATTGTACTTACCTTGAACAATTATTGCAAGTTTTCCTTCCCTAAGCACGCTGTTATCACCCGGTATTTATCGGATTGAAAATTATTGTGTCAACGTCTACTTTTCAGTGTAGCCCACGACTGGGTACACTGCTACTACATCTCGCTCTTCCATCTTCAAAAAGCAATAATTATAATGCGGCATGGAGGAGCTAGAAGAAGTTTTCTATAATAGCGAATGATCAACATGCGGCCTTGTTTCTGCTGGACGCGCGTTGGCCTTTGAGGTGGTTGATGAAATAGATCTTTTCATTGGAAAAATTAGGTGAAAGGAAAGCGATTTAGAAAATCTCGTATGCGCCGTCGTCGATAGCTCCAATATAATTTTTAATAGATTGGTTGTAATTCTTTACTGTAGCGACATGAAGATCGATCTGTCTTTTAATTTTAATGAAGAAAGTCGAGGTAAATTGATGATAGTACTACAAACTGTAATGACCATGTTGACGATGCATGTTGACGATGTTGTTGTTAATCCTGATGTTGACAGTTCTCTTTGTTGATGGTGTCTTTGCTAATAATTGTGCGAGATTTATTGTATTGTACTGTCTCGTGCTGCCGGAACGAATGCGAGACGAGTTTTGTGTGTTGTTCCACCTACTCTTTTGTCCTCACACACTTTGCGTATCTGCAAAAAAATGGCGCTATTAGAATTTCGTCCAGGAGAGATAGGAAAAATTGAGATGAATTAGGCTTGAAGAACTCTTGATGAACGAAGGAAAGGTCAGTTTTCGCCGAGAGAGAAATCCCACAGAGCGAGTTCAAAAGGAAGAGAATGCAGTAATTTATTCGAGACGAACACGCGGTTGATTCTTGTGCGTTGCCGCGATTATTTGACTCGAGTACTAGTAGACCTTGTTGCTCTTGCCAGAATCACCTCGTCTGGAAGTACAAGTGAAGATTTCCTGAATGAATAAGTACAAGTGATTTATTCCTGAATGAGTACATGAAAATATGGTGCGGGTTCTTGCGTCAGGTGAAATAGTCGGGGACAATGATCCTCGCGCGGTTCAACAAGCAGCTCGCTCGGGACCAATGTTATGGCTGCACCATTATTGTTTTGTCGCTTAGGATTACTAGGGCGGCTTCACTCAAGTTTATTCTTTCGTCTTTTTTTTGCAAGGGGCTACTAGTAGACGCTATGACCATTACTGAATCGAGCAGGGACAACGAACTTAATATTGTTCTTGAAGAAGCAATCCGAATTCCGTAACCTTGTTCTTGTTGCAAGCGTAGGAGTTACAAGGAGCTCTAATCGTGGATATAGTGGAGGCATATTTGCTCCCACGATTCGGAATCGGGCTTCTTATGGCTACAAGTGACAACTCATTATGGCAGTACTAATGCTAGCCGTGGTAAAAAAATAGAGTAGTAGAGTGTGCTGTAGGCGTAGTACCCACTTAATATTCGAGGTAGTTACTACTTATGATATACATAGATAGGCACATCATGGAGGCTAGTAAATGAAACGGGAGGTAATAGTTGCACAGCGGGTTATCTTTAAGCTTCGCGAAGAACAGCCCTCGATCGGTGCTAGAGGAAGCAGGTCCTCAGGTGGAACAATACAGGGACTCCGGTCGACCGAGGAGGAAAGCGGAACAGCACCTTTTCCGTCCGCCGGTGGTTGTATCTCAACCGGTGGGGTTTGCTTCGTATATAGCGCTGTTTACGCCGCTCTGTTTTTCGTGGGGTGGGTCGCAGTCAATGTTGTGGAGCTTGCGATAGCTCCTAAACCGCCGGACCTTCTTCCTGCCTACCCTGGTACACCAGAAAACGAAGAGGATGGCACTGAATTTCTATTGCGGTTACTTCTAGGCTTTCACCTCTTCTGGGACCTGCAGGAGCGGTTTTTGTTTCTCCCCTGGTGTTAAGGCATTTCATTTTCTATTGTTGAAGATGTCTGTGATAGTGCTGTCATGTCGTCAATTAGGAAGAATCCAGTATGCATTTCTCAGTGTCCTTGAAAAATTGTAGGTAAGTGCTTAATACAAGTGAGACAATTACGCAAAAATGCAATACACACATGCATATACTTCTACAACCTCCGTCTTTTGACTCCTCTTTCATCTAATCCGGGTTTCAAAAAGGTCGTTCAGTACCACAGTCGACGCCGCTGCAGACGTCACCTTTGGCGGCGCCGCTAATTGCGACCACTGCTGGAGGCGCCGCTGCAGGCAGCCAGACATTATGGAAGTTTTCTTAGCAGAGCAGAAACAAGTAGTTTTGGTTTTTGATAAGTTGGAGCTTAGGATATAATGTTGTACGTAGTTTATTCTTCTTCTCGTCCCTGAGGACCTACACCTCTAGCAGCTCCAAGCATTAGAGAAGCTCTCCTGGATTCATTCCATCATTCCAGCATGTACAACTTACGACGTCAGTACTTTACAATTGGAAGAATGGCATTACTTAGGCTCTTTTGTTCCGAGGACGTCGTCTAACGTCGGTCTCGTCTACGGGAGCCTTAGGTCGACGACTGGGTGACAGTGCAATGACACTCTCGGACAGTTCTCCAGGCTTCCTACGGGCTGCGAGCATAAGTCTGCAGTTTTTGCTGACTTTTCTTGCGGCAAATATTGTCTTCTTTGCGAAATCGCCGTCCGCCGTCTTTGCTGCTGCGATCTTGCTTGGAATTTACAATTAGGGCAGCAAACAATATTAGAAATGGAAGAAGTACTGTTGAATTGTGGCTGTCTAGTTTCGCTCTATAGTCCGGGGGATGCAGTTCTTAGTTCTTATTCGCAGAGATCGTCACTTCAACTTCTTCTAATTTAGGCTCATTTTCGTATTTCAAAACGAAGGGCGAGCGAGCATTCGTGGCGGGTCACCCACTCTAGTTAAGGAAGGATAGGTATATAGATACATCTCTTTTGTTGGTTCGAGAGATGAGAAGAGAAAAAGATGAAAAAATACAACGCAAGGTCGTTGTTGTTCCATCTTTCATCTCTTCATCATGTGAACTATGACCATCTTTGCAAAACAAAATGAAACTGCTTCACCTGCTTCACCTATAAAAAAGCTATTTAGCTCATTTTCATTCTAGATTAGTGCCTAATCTTCAATCAATGTAGCTTTAACCTAGCAGGCGGAAAAGTGAATCCGTACATTTCGTCCTATTGGTGGAGTGTCGGTGGAGCCATCGCGCTTTACGGCTACGCTTCTGCTCGAAACTGCTTTGACATGGAGACTATATTCGTGACGAACATTGCAGATCCACTCTGCTCCTTCAAGCAGGACCCGACAAGAGGTACAACAACTAAGTACTCTTTTGTGAAGACAAATATTTTAATTTCTTCTCATATTTGATCTTCGCCGTTTAGTTCACAATTTGTTCGTCGATCATACTAGGACATTGCGGCAGCACTCGTGCAGCAGCTCTTGATGCGTCCACCCAAAAATGCTTACACTCTCTCAACAACAAGATCAACAATCCGCTTGTTCCTAGATTTAGTCGTGTCGTTTCTGCTTCGGCTCTGTACTTCGGTACATTTTTTGACGGAGTTGCAGACGAAAATAAATCACCGAGAACAGTGGACCGAAGTGATAGCCAAAGTCCCTGCTTTCACCAACTACGCTGAGTCGCTGATGAGCACGATTATCACGCTACTCTGTGTTTATGAATATGAGAAAGACTGCGTGAAAACGATTACAGGAGAAACAAGACTTCTTCTGTCGTATAAGCGTAATTGTATGCTAATGATCATGTTGAAAGAGAACATCGTCGCATGATCATGTATCTGAAGATAAAAGTTAAGTACTTCAATCTTTTTCCGTAGCCATGCAAAATGGCTGGTGCAGCTCTCATTTCTATGGGGGCTTCACGCTTCTGTTCGGAAACCTGTTTCACCTGATTACCATCCAGCTGCTCGGACCAACGAGTACCTGCGCCCTTCTCTGTTAAGGGTCATGATCATAGTTGAGTTTGTTTTTAGTAGTACTAGTAACTCCGAAAAAGTACTTATTAATTTGATACTGATTGATTTTTTCGGTCGTTTCAGTTTGTTTTTCTTGTTGGCTTGGGGTCTGCTGCGATTTTCCTCTCAGCGATCATAGGTCTAAAGACTGCGCACGTGGGCAATGACAATGTGCGTGGCGCTAGCTCTAGTTCAGTTTCCGACCTCGTTCGGCTTTGAGGGTGGCAGCTTCGGCCAGAATCTTGAGGTGCAGTCTTGCGGAATGTCACTGATGGGGGGCGTCTTTTTGCTTGGCTATTTCGAATACTACAGCGTCTAGAATGACTACAAAGGCCAGCGGAGGTGGAGAAGAAACAGGATCTGAGTTGTGATTTGAGTCCCGATTTGAGTCCTTCTCACTATTTGTGTACTACTTAATAGAGACCAGCACATAGCAGGATAATCCTATTACTACATATTGAGGAGCAGTACTGCGCTTTCTAGTGCAAAGCAAGAAACACAAACATGATCATTTTTTTGCATTCATAATCTATCATAACATCATGGTGTGCGTGGATATTTTGTTGAGGACACTGGAACAGCGTGGGTTTTTTGTCTGCGTCGTGCCTGTGTGATTCAATGGACATGGTCCCGACAACATCACGCGTAAGTATACTCGACACGCAGCTCCTCTCAATGCACTTAGTACGCCGAAGATCATAGAAGTGGACTCGGCATGCGGTGTCACCGTCAGACAAAAACGAGCGCAACATTCTAGAAGTGCTTCTTGATGCTCCCCAAACAGGGCTGTTCGACAAGTGCGCGTCTCTTGATCTGCGGTTGTCACAGAAGACCTCGTGTGAGCAAGGATCTTGACTACGGACGCAGTTTGCTCGTCAAGGCTTCGGGATTCAAGATGGTCGCAGAAGACCTCGTTCGCAAAAGACCCGCAGACCTTTCCTCCCGTCGATCACGCATGATCTCTTCTACTCTTACGCATCATCTTCGACAAGCAGAAGCACTTACAATCACGATTGTTTGCGGTTTGTGTTGTTTTTGATGGATGCCTAGATTAATGAGACGAACTCCTAATCTAACAGAGTAAGCAGATTTTTTTTTTGTGCCCGTTGCCTGTACTTTCAATGTTCAATGATTGAAGAAACATCACAGAGGCAACTGTAGACACGATGACGGTGAAAACATGGTGGAGGTCTTTTCGGCAGCCCCTGCTCCGGGCAGTCTGCGTGTCGTGTTTTTGCTCCCGCCTTGGTTGTTTCGGATCCTCAGTGGGGCTACGTCCGAGCGCCAGGACTACGGACGTAACGTCTACAGGTCAAAGTACACGAATCGTTTCTGGCTCATCAACAGAGGCTGCAGAGGCAAAACGCACCAGATCTGGTCCCTTTCTAGCTTCAAAATCGACCTCCAGGTGTGCAAACGATGCAGAAGCCTCTGGAACGATCCTCAAGAAGCGTTATGACGAAGAAATATACAGAAAAATGCGAATAGAGGTCATTTCCGGCATTGCAATCTCAGCATGCCTCCCACTTAGTCGTAGCGTGAGCCTGTGGGTACTTCTTTACAAAATGCCGTGGACAAGAACGCAGGAAAGATATACCCACTCTTTGTACGACGAGGCTCTTTCAAAACAGATGCAGGAAAAAGTCAGAGTCAGAGGTTATGAATGCGCTACTACATGATTCTACGACAGCGCTAACGCTGGAGTCCGAATATTGGTAAAACCCTCATCGCATTGCTACTGGCGAGCACCGCTGTCGATCCTGCGAGATGTGAACTTAGGGCCTGGAAGCACTTGACACGGCATGAGTATGTACTTAAGCAGAAACTTTTTAAGCAGATGTTGATGTTGTAAGTAGTTGTTACCGCATGCTTCTTTTTTGCTTTTGTAGAGCAAGCTAGAAGCTCATCGCGTTTAGCTTCTTTCTACAACAATGTTTCCTGGCCCACAACTCTAATGCTGAGAAGCATATCGTCCGTGATTTTGCCGACGACCTGGATCAAGAGGGACTGAACGACGACGATTCGGCATCGATATTGCTTGATGCGAGTAGCCAAGAAATCAATCCGTTTCTTACATTCGGCAGCTCGATGCCAGACATCGACTTCAGCGGGCACGTCTTGCTGCCCTCTCCTCTACGACGAAATACGATGGAAGGGGCTTCTTCGTCTTTTTTAAGGGGTCGTGGTTCGGACGATCTTGTTGCGTCTACTACTGCATCTTCAGCGGGTCGCTCCGGAAAAAGGAAACATGTGGGTGAAGATCACCTAAAATTCAAAACGCTTCAGGTTGGTCCCTGTTTTCCTGTTTCAGGCATCGTGCAGTCAATCAGTTCGCTCGACAGCGGAGCGAATAAGCTGCAACAAGATATGGCTCTAGCATAATACATATCTTCTTACATCAACGAAGCATGCTGCTGCTGCTTGCATCGTGGACAGTATCTTGTATCGGTCATGAGCATTGACCGGTTGCCTTCGTGGTCTGAGTTCATTGTCATGCAATCCAAGACTTCATACTTAAATGTCATGTGTGTGTCCATGTCGCAGTTCCTATGTAAGACTACCTAAAAGACAAGAACACTTCACAGAAGTTATGGGCTAGACCCTCCTTGTACAACGATCGGCCAAGCACCAGGCTAGTGCCCAAAAGAGACTTCATAGTGAAGTTGAAGATAGTTTCTTTCGTCTTTCTAATGATGTGTTGTACAACATCTATCGCTTTTCTCCACCGGGCTCTGAAAAGCAAGCGCTGCTTCAGCTGTTGCACTCCCTTCAGTTAAGGTTTTCGATGTATTCTAGGATTAACCTTGTTGACACCAGTATTTAGAGTAGAAACACTATGTACAACATGATGTGGTACTTTAATTAAGTATCGTACTGTCACCACCAATTCGAAAACGAAGACCATACTGAGTTCATCTTCATCTAAAAGAGAATATTGACAAGAATTTGATGGCAGCCGAGGATGCCCTTGTGCATGGGAATCTGACAGGAGGAGAGGACGTGCTCAGATTTGTGATGCATCTAGCGACAGATTGGTTTCCTAAAGGCCCCCTGGCGTTTCTGGGCCACAGTGAAGTAACTTTTAGCTATGTCCCCGCCGAGGAGGACAACGCGACGAAGGACGACTTGGACGAAAACGAGAACGAGACGCCAGGAGTTGGAGTGTTCTTGAGTCCATCTCCTGGTTCCGGTTCTCCTACACAGGCAGAGTCAAGAATGGTAGAAAGAACCGGCGACGAGGAGCAAGCCTTGGTGTCGAAACGAGCAGGAGATGACTTGCAGACACCGATCAGGAGCGTTCCTGCCGATAGTACAACAAGAGGTTCCTCGTCAATAGGCGCACGAGATCCTCTGAGAGGGCAGATTTGTGTCCGATATCAAGTGGATCAAGGGTCCTGGAACTACCTTGCTATTGCGGGCGCAGCCGTTGCGGGTGGGACGCTTTGGACTACCTTGCTAACCGCCGTACTTTGCCATCTGCGTTGCCAGCACCGCAGGTTGACGGATAAACTGGTAGAACTTACGGAACGTCGTGTGAACGAAAGGCAGGAGGCTGCCTCTGATAGCCGTAACTTGCATGAAGCGGTGCAGCGTCTTGAAAACGTTCTGTCTGCCCAATTACGTGGAACGGCTTGCGACGAAACTGTGTCATTATGGCTTATGTTCGTTTCTTTATAACTACAAGGTCGCGACTTCAAGAACTACAGGGTTAATAGTGGTTTACTCTCATTCTATTATAGGATGTGATTGATGTGAAAGTGAAGACATCAGATAAGTTCAAGTAGTGCCCTGCACTCTCGGAGGCTGGTTAGTTTACACTGCACAACTCCTACGATTTCTACTTCTGCTAGTGCTAGTACTCCATCTCCAAATTCAACCTTTTGATTTTCATGTGGCGAGATCTTTCTCGGGAACGATTCAGCACGCGCAACATTGGTATCCACGAGTGGGCTCGTGAGTACGCCAGAGATGGAGCCACGCTCGTTTGGTGGAAGACGAAATAGGTCGGTCTTGGCCTACAACTGCATGACGACACCATCGCGTTCTACTCTACGTGAGGCAAGCGCTGCGGCGGCAGGAGCAATATGTGAAGACGAATGTGGGGCCGAAGAAGAGCGAGACTTTTGGGGAACAACTGAGCATTTACGGCTAACTGATGTTTTGAATGCTTGCTGGACTGGGACGAGTGGAGTGCTGGAAGTGGTGGACTAAAGTACCCACCCCAACGACATGTATCCACCCCAACGAGTATAGACGGTCTCTCCGGAAAACCTTCAACTTTTTATTCCATTGATTCATAGCGTAAGAAGTTTCTGGTAGTTCCTGTAGCTCTCATCTACTAAAAGTAGAAGAACTAGAAGAGCCTTCGGCTACCGACGTCCAAGACGTGCCGCTTTTGCAGCCGACTCCGACGTCTCGCATTCCGGTGCGACAGGCTAGTACCGAAAGCTTTCGCATACACACCCCGAACCTGGAACAGGATTTTGAGCTCCTGGAACAGCCTTTTGAGCTTCGGGAACCCGCTGACTCTGATGAGGCAGTTGAAAAAATGGACACTAATTCGAGTAGAAACTACAATACTTCGAGAGGAGCAGTCCCGGCATCGTTATTTCCTGCTGTGGTCGGAAATAACGATGCAGATGAACTACAAGAGGAACTGATTGCGGAAGAACAAGGTGGTTTAGAGGAACAGGATTTGTATCCTTTAGGTGGAGAACAGGAGAGTGCGCCTTTCGAAGTAGATGACGTGGTAGAGACACCGCTTCGCACGCCAGACCAGCGGCTTACACGAACCGTAATGCACTTTTCTCCTGAGGCGGCCGCGGGAGCTGACTCCTCTGCAAGCAGCAGCAGTCAGAGAAGGGAGGACTACGGTGATATCGTCCGTGATAGCAATCCGCCTATACTAGCGAGTTCGCGAGGCAGCCCTCGAAAGGAGGATGCTGGCATTGTCTTTCCCAAAGTGAAATTATGGTGCGCATTATAAGTCGAGCTTCATATTAGTCATAGTTGTTAGGGATGGAACAGGAGGAAGAGGATTATTTTTGGTGCTTTCGCTTTTTTTTTAGAAGACGGTCAGTCTTGTATGGGATGATATCAGAGTAATGATTCCAATCCACAAGCAGGGACATACGTCATAGACAGTCTTCTAATCCATTCTGCAGCAACGCGTTTCGAGGATACTCCCGAGCAAACAACATCTAGTGTAGGCGGTGAGCAGGATCAGGAGTCATCTTCAAGTGTGCGACCTTTGCCAGTAATTGGCCTTTCCAGTGGTCCAGAGGATTTACGTGCTAGTTTTTTGAGGACTGGTTTACACGGTTAAGGCTACCTCTAATCCATCTTAGAAGATTATTCTTTGGGACGAGCTCGGTTATTTCAGTTTTTCGAATGTAAGGATGGATCCCTCATGCGTATCCGTACGAGCGATATTCATGAGGGATCCCAAAGGGATGGACTAGGAGTAGCTCTAACAAGGATCAAGCAGCAGCCGAGGCAAGTATGCCCCTGATGGCACGCCAATGCGTCTTCCCGGTGAGAGTGAGGAACCACGACTCTGGATCCCGGAAACCCACAGAGGGACGCAGAAAAAATACTAGATGAAGAAAGCTAGAGCAGCGAGTCTGGACTGGTATCTACCGCTTTTCTAGATCTTGTTTGCAGTTCTACTTTTTTAGCTTTCAGCCAGAGAAGTATGTGTCTTCCATTTTTGTAATCAACGGCTCGTGGTCGTGACCCTTGGTGATATACTTTTGCGGAGCAGAGAGAATCATGAGGAAAATGCTTGGGAATTTAACGCATATTTTTCACGTTGTTGTGTTCATATTTTCAGTATCTAGCAGTCATACGGACGATTGATATTATGTGGTAAAAGGCAGTCAGCATATTTTATCTAGACAATCCTTCACTAGCATAATCAGAGTCTTCACTTAAATAATAGTTTCGTTCGAGGGATCATCCTCAAGCTATCATGGAAGCTTGTTTTACAGAAGGAAAATAGTTTTGCTTTGTGGATCTGCGAAATGGAAGTTTTTCCGAAGATAATCGGGATAATAAACGCGACTGTGATTCTGTCAGATTTAGAATGAAGTCGATTTCTTAGAAGAACAACATGACCGTGATCAATAACGGAAAGAGCAATCAGTCCTTGGCTGGAGGCACAGCGTTCATCATGGCCACCGCCGCCGCTCATGCGCAGCGTCCGTTTCCGTCGACGAAAGAGGGTATCTCACATCCCCTGTAACGAGTCTAGGCCGACAAGAAAGTTGAGAACGGTGCAGGAAGTCAACCGGTCTTTCTCTGATTTTCAGCGTTATTATGACATGATCGTTGTACTAGCAAAGTCAAGGCGTGCAAGTCGAGAATGTCGCAGCTGCAGCAGCATACTACCAGGCGAGTGAGTGAAGAGAGGGAGAGAGAGAATGCTAAAATACACCAGTAATTTCGGAAACAAAAAACGAGCAAGCGCAGCGGAACCGATTGGTCAAAAAGTAAACTCAGCACCTACGCGTTCTGCTGCATTTACCATTATAGAAACTTGAATTTGTTCTAAACATAGATTTTTCAACGTCTTACGCACAAAATGAGTGCCAGCCCGAACTCAAAAGTACGCTTATCGTTATCTTGCTTTCTGTTTCTTTGTGTCTCTGTTAGGAGGTTGTTTAATTCTAGCATTTCAATTTCTTTTTTCGGCTAAGAGCGTGTAACTAGTTCCGCGTCACTTACCTCTCGCGAGAGATATCTAATAAATCAATGAATTTCAATTAAAAATAACCAATGCATCGTTGAAAAATCGAAATCCGCATGTCTTTGGCCTCTTCCTCGTCCGCGCCCGTCCTGGGTGCGGAAAAGGCGGCGTTGCCGCAGACTCCTTCATGCAGGCGCTTCGACGCCGCGGCCGCACCAGGTTTTCCGAAAACCTTCTCCACGGCTTGCACCAATGGCAGAACCCCTGTGCTGAGGCCGGGCAGCGCGCCTACGGCATCGACGTCTCGCGCAAGAATAGAATCGATATCGTCGACGTCTCGCGAGGACTTACTACGCGATCGGCGCACGATCAGTGGAGGCAAGACGAATTTCAAAAACTACAACTTCGACTTACAGCGGCCTTTGCTGTCCTCTCTGCCGGATGATGCAACTGCAGGTGCCAACGCAGGACGAAGAGGTATCAACGACCATGGCGGTACGGCTGATAGCAGCTGTTCTAGCTCGTCCGGTGCAGTGGGAAGGGCTGCTGCAGTACGTCGCTTGCCAATCATTATGGTTTCTGCTTCTACTACTTGATGGCGTCGGTCCTGGCGAAGACTTTTTCAAGAATCTGCACACTGCTGTTGTCAGGTAGGTAGAGGTACTTAGGTACTTACATGGATTCTTTTGAAACCTACATGGATTTTTTGGATACTTACATGGTTTTTTTGGATACTTACATGGTTTTTTTGGATACTTACATGGATTTTTTGGCACTTTCTTACATGGTATCCAGGTAAGCACTTACAAGCTTGAATGGATTTTTTGGATATCAGGAGGCACGTCGAGAGGATGTTGACCAATATTAATAGAGGTTTGAAACTTATGGTCCATATTATGAAATCTCGAACATTTTTTCGTGCGAACACTACGTCGCTAGAATCGGAGAACTTGCGTCCTTGGGGGACGGTGCCAGCTCGAGCGGACGATACGCACATCGGAGGAGTGATTCGAGTAGCAGTGAGGGAAGTAATATTGCGAAAGACGGCGATAGGAGCAGAAGAAGGAAGAGTGTTGCTGACGAAGAAGATCGAGGCAATGCAGACCAGAAGAATGGCAGACCTCGTGCCGATGACGATGAAATGCTGGATACTGAGCAGTCCTCGCGTCCAGGTTTAGAAGGAGAAGGGGTTGTAGACGAGGAACAGCAAGGGACTGCGACTGCCACAAGACTGCGAGACGAGAACGGCCAGGAGCACCACGGCTGGCTGGGTGCTTCACGGCAGCACGGGAGAAGTGAGGATGAGGATGGTCGCGCACCCGAGGCTCCAGAAGGAGCATCGCGATCTCGTCATCGAACTAAAGAAAGGGTTGTAAAGGTAAACACTTTTTCACCCTCTCGACCGTCTAAATGGGTCGATGAGCACGCGCGTGAAGGGATTCTCACCTTACTAAAAATGGAGATGCGAAATGTAGCCAGGAGCAGAAGCAACCCGTCTTCCCCTGCATTATCCATGGAGTCTCCTAGTAGTCACTTCCGCGAGACCCCAGCATTGCCGCCGGCCGAGCTATGCCGGACTCTAGCTTTGGACAAACGACTTTTAATGCCGTCCGTTGAGCAAGTGACGTCGTCATCCTCAAGTAGTTGCAGATCGACCGGTAGGCCATCGCCATGTCACCAGGAGGATGCTTCGTCATCCAGCGCAGCAGCTTTACAAAACGCGACCGCTTCAGATGCCGAAAGAGGAGCGGGAAACGTGCGAGAGGAGCAGGTCCGATGCAAAGATTCCAACTCGTTGTTCTATAACGATGGCGCTTGTGCTAGTAGTAGTTCTATTCAGCCAGCCAGAAATTCTTTGAAGCGGGACCGTTCGAGATTGGATTCTGCTGATAGGGCAGAGCCTGGTGGCGGAGCCGCAGCAGGTCCCCGGGAGCGCGATGCTCCTACAACGACTTTGCGCGAGTTCTTTCGGGATACGCATAATGCTACATCAGCAGAAAAAAATCAACTAGGCGATAGAATCAGAAGTGCAAGTAGCGGTCGTCCACACAGTACTGCGGCCCTAAACCGCCACATTGATGTTGAAAATCGGAATATGAAGCTCTCTACCTCAGACGTGTTTGCGTCGCAGAGACGACACTTCAAGCCGCCATCGAGGCTTCTTGATGAAAGCGCGCGTGGAGGCAGTACTAGTACTGAAACTAGTGCCAGTGGCCCTACCTGTCCATCTTCGGATTCGGAATGCCCAAAGAAAACAATACCCTTTCCCGACATAGCCCACGAAGATGAAGATCCCATGACCCGCCGAGAACATCCACCCCTTACCAGTGAGCACGAAATGAAGATCACACGAGAAGACCACGATCTTCATGTTAGAAGTACAACAACTGAAGCATCTTCTTCATCAAGTACAACGACCTCTCCGCGGACAATTTCACTGTCCAGCAAGCTATATTTTGAAAGTAAAGGAGTGCTACTAGTTGAAGAGGCGTCTCAGGATCAAGGCTCTGGCGGCGGCGCCTCTCATTCTGGTCGTCGGAAAAGGTTGCGATCCTTATTGCAAGAAGGCGGCTCGTCTGGGAGTCGGTCCATCACGAAGACCGTGAAGAATGGACAGCTCCAACAGCATGAAGATGCTGAGAAGAACGCGCTCATGAAGCATGTAGAACAACATCGACCTCAGGTGGGTCTGGCCGAGAATAGTATGAAACGACCGCCATCCTCACAGGTCAGATTGGGTTCTATAACTGGCGGAGATGCACCCTGGTCGTGCAGTCACGAGACCCGTCACGAGAGCCTCATTTCGCCATCACGGAGTGTGCTCTCGCGGGAACGCAGCAATACTAGTTCTTTAAAGCGCACGGCCACGACACACCAGACAACTCTTCTACCGCCTCTACCGACACCACTGTGGATGCACATCGCATCTTTTTTACAATTCGAAGGTCCGATTGAGGGCATGGTCTACGTTTGTGGTGGACGAAATCACGATGAGGGGCCACTCGCTACTTGCGAGATGTTCGACTCGTGGCACGGAAACTGGGTATATCCCCCTCCGGAGGAACTAGTGGAAGATAGTAGATGTGCTATGATTTTTCTGTGATTAGTATAACGCAGGTTCCATTCACATCTAGAATCCTGGTAACTGTAATGGTCTAGATATAAAACCACCTCAACCTCTTTTTATCCACACACGACCTCACAGGTAGAGCTTCCGCGAATGCGCAAAGCGCGTGCCGGTTGCGCGGCGTGCAGTATCAAGGATGTTGATGGGAAAGAGCGTATTCTTGTAACTGGGGGATATGACGAGCTGGGGATCGTAGAAGGCCTCCTGAGCTGCGTCGAGGCGTTCACGCCACACATCGGGACATGGATGTCACGGACTCCGATGCTTCGCTTATGATGGATCATAAGTTGATTGTTGTTCTTTGTACTGAGGAGATGGGGATGAACGACGTCTAGATTTTTGGAGGGTCGAGTATTCCCACTGAGCTGTTCCGTTGATCTACTACTAATATTTGGGGAATAATGTTGAATGTCTATAAGGGGAAGGGGCCGATATTCATTTCTTCTTCTGGAGTCTCAACTTCATACTAGCCTCGCTGGGGCCATGGTGCGGCGTGCATCCGAAATCGCGTATACGTTGTAGGCGGCTGTAGTCTTCATCCGCGGGCCCCTGCGTTAGAAACGTTCATGGAGACGTTGAGGGCGTGCGAGCTGTACGACCCCGAAACGGAAGAGTGGACTGAGCTCGCCGCTCTTAGTGTCGGGCGGGCCGGCGGCCGAGTCACGTCCGTGGCAGATCGCTATGTTCTTATTGTGGGCGGATGCGATGACGTTTTCGGTCGTGCAGAAATGCTCGCGTCCATCGAGATACTCGACACGTGGGGTATTCATTTTTCGTGAGACTGCCTTTTGTATTTTTTCCGAAGAGGTCACAGGAGGACAAGATGGATTTAGTGTTGTAGTAACGGCATGAATTATTCCAACAAGAGGGACGAGCATTGAAGAAGTTACACTTAAGTACATTTAGAAGTATCTTCTATCATGATCCTTTATTTCACAGTCCATTTGCCTCACTCCAACCTACATGATGCCAGATCCGTCTGCCTGGTTCACTCTAGATGTCGCGCTGAGCGAACCGCGGACGACCGCTGCTGTCGTTTCAATCGACGATCGGATCATAGTTTTAGGTGGTGCGCCCAATCTCTCTAGTGTCGAGATCGTTTCCGACGTGTCACAGCGGATCCAGGCCTGTCTCTTTGAGTGTCGAAGCGAGGATGACAGTGCTAGACTAGAGAGTCAGAACGAATTTTTGTTCTTTTCCACTCAGGAGGAAGATGGGGGGTCGACTTTTGCGCCGCCGATTATGGACGATTCAACTACGGAACGAAGACGAAATTATGGCGGGACAACGCTACGACGTGGCGGAGAACAACATATTGACGCGGCGCAGGAGTACAGCGGTGCTCATCCTCATGCAGCAAGTGGAGCTAACTCGGCGTCTCGAGAATCACGTGTCTTGATTCACCCCCGTCATTGTTCTGTAGGTGACGACATTAGCTCCAGCCCGCAGAGCTTTGGGACGGTGTCTTCTTTGATGTCTTCGCTTGATCAGAGTCCAGAGTGTGTTTCGTCGCGACCCGACGAGGCGACATCGCCACCCCATGAGGAGGTATCACGGCCGAAGGAATCATCGCACAGCAAGAGCCACGGTGATGAACAACAAAAAACGTGCGCTTCACGTGTCGAAGATGAAGCGTCGGACGTAGCTAGAATTACCAAGAAGATGAGTTTGGATCCTATGGTCGGGGTAGGCCTACGCGATGGCCGCACACCCCGTTCGATATCGGAAGAGACCGTGGCGCCACAGGCATACTCAGCTAGCAGTTCGTCTTCGACTTGCTCCGGAATAGATTTGCTTGTGGTTCCACCTGACTTGCTAGTCGCGGAAGACCCTTCTGACAAGGCAGATCAGGAAGACATAACCTTCTTTTCCTCTACGTCCACGCCTACCACATTCCATGATGTGCTTGACAATTTTGGCCGTAGTGACGGAGCAACAGGCACTGATCATGATGCCACCGGTGTACCCGAAGTAGGCTATGGTGATGCACAAGATGCACAAGAGCAGTCTGAAGCGTTTTTGTTTCCGTTGGACCCGCTATCAGATAGGTCTTCCTCTAATGCAGGAGTGGAAGAAACTACAGTGCTGAGGTCCGGGAACATCGCAACTTCCGTTGCCTTCGAAAACCAAAGCGACAATGACCAGCCCGACGTTGAGAATCACTTTGATGTTAATATGGCAACATTTTACTGCTCGTGAAAGCATCTCTTAAACCTCAAGTTGTGGTCCACCATGTATTGCCCTCCTTGGCTCTGTCTCTAAGTTCCATGTCGCAGCTCACGAGGCGGAAGCGGGGCATCACGAAGCGTCTCCTTCATCCGGCGCCGACAAGGGACCCAGTCTTTCGCAGGGGCGAATGGGTTCCCAGGCTGTTGCGCTGGACATACCAGTGAAGGGATCGCAGTTTCCCGCCAGAAAAGGCCATTCGAGGCGCACTGTTCTCATCCTTGGAGGCGAAGATGGTGGTATTAAGAATACATAGCAAATTTAAGTATCTATTTCTTTCTGGTGATGCAGATGCTTCTGTGAAACAACCGAGGTTTGAAATAGTTATCACAGCCTGAAGACGAGCCTGATTTGAATCCTCGATAAGAACATTTATAACATTTGAATTTTAACTTCTTATTTTTCATCAGATTCAGACTTTTCATTACCACTACGACTAGGCGATTACGAGACGGAAGAGAACAAGCAGTTCCGCTCGATTGAGTTGTTGGATGCCGAGAGGCTCGAGTACACCCTTGCTCACCCGCTTCCGCCTATGTTGCAGGCGCGAACAGCTATGAGCTGTTGCATAGGCAAAGGCCTTGCTGGCCTGCCTTCGAAGTGGAGCTGGAGCTCGCTTAATATCGTGTCAAACGACGCTAGTCCTGGAGGTCGTCGAGACCCTCGCCAACGGGGTTCTCCAAGTGATGAAAGCGATGCTGACGAACACGGTGATCATGATCAAGATGAAGATTACTATGATGAAGAAGAGGAGCGCGACGATCACTTTGACTACAGGGGGCAAGCACAACATAACAACAACATGCTTGACAATTATCGTGACTCCTATACTTGGGAGGAGATACAGGAGATATCTAGACGGAATCGCTGGCCTGCACCTCGACGTAGTAGGACAGATACAACTGACACGACGAATTCGAGTAACGGGGGTGCTTCTGCTTCCGAACAAGCAACGGATACTTATGGCTAGTATCAACGTCAAGCAATGTGAACCTTTTGCACGACTTTTTGGCTAGTTTCGTGTCCTAAAACATGGTGATGGCGATTTGTTCTCCTAGCTACGTAAGTACTTTCTTTTCCTTCTAAGACGACGCCGCAGGATTGAATGGGCACGCGGCAATGAACGAGGATCGCATCCCTGCCTTTGTCATTGAAGCTGCGCTATTGGGTAACTTTCCCCCAGCCCCTGCAGAGGACGTGAATTCGCACCGTCCCCATTAAGAAGTCGAGGATGACAACAGTTATTAGATTTTTTTTTGGCTAACTTCTCCTATCATCATGTATGAGTGTATTCAAAACGGTGTTTTACAAGTTTTGCAATTTTGTATCTGCTTACGGTGAATTGGAGCTTTTTCCATGGAGTCTGGATCGTTTTGTTCGTCGGAAAGACGACTAGATTAGCTTATGTGTTGTCTTTCTGGTAACGTTGCCTCTTGTATGATTATGCTCATATCTTCTTCATAGTTGTTCTGCTCTTATCCTGCTATCCTCATCCTGTTTGTTTACTTTCTAGATGGTTGGAAGCAAAAAATTCTTTAAATCTATCAATTTGAAGGATCTATCAATTCGAAGGTACGTATAAATATATGAATATGGGAGATGGAGCATCGGCTTGCTGCGCTTGGAATCAACTCATTTTCGCATTTTAATGAACCTCTACCAACCTCAGGCAGACTACGTACTACAACCTCTAGACTATCCAATTATAAATCATCCACCATTCAATAAGTACTTTGACTTTCAAGCAGGTAGAAATATTTTTTCCTACTCCTCAAGAAGGGTTCGGATTGGTTACGCTTCACTCTATGTCCGAGTGCAACGTCGGTGCTCGCGCTTGCGTGCTTGATTTACAGCAGTTGACTTCACAGACGACATCTTCGTGTGGTGATGATTACTTTTGCTCGCCTCATCAAAATCTGTCGCTTGAAGACCCACCTGTCTGTCCTATGTTGTCTGTGGCTCGCTGTAAGTACTTGAGTGTACGGTGATGTTGTTCACTTCTGATGAGCGCTATAATGAGGGTAAGTAACAACAGCACGAAAACGTGATGCAATTGGAATGCTGTCCATTCATTTTCTGACTGCACATCAGCGTGGTGGGCTGAGAGATAACCGGAGAAGCGTATAGTGAGAGGCAACAATTGACGCCATGAAAAGGCTGTTAAGTAAATGGGTTTTCCCCCCTACTTTGATAGAGACAAAAAGCTACTTCCTATTTGTTCCCCATCGTCTAAACGCCGATCGAGGCACGCTGCACCTTTCTACTGCTTGTGTCCTCTTCTTCATTCTAGATAGTCATGCAGAATGTTTTCTACCAGTATTCCTGTGAGCGTAAACCCTTGTCCATATTCCTATGACAAGTTAGCTCTTCGAGAATCAGTGGACAAGAGTCTGTCGTATTTTTTTCATTAATCTTTCACTTTTTATTCACGACTTGAAATTAAGAAGTCATTTTTATGTTTCTACCTAACTTTAGGTACTTTACTCTTACTGTTGTTTCTTCTACCCGCCCAATAATATCTACAATTGACTATAGTCCCACGTCCTGCTATTTTTTTTTCAATCAGCATACTTACTGGAACAAGTAGAAGATGAGTCTCCTGCAGATTTTGATGGCTTTGGTGATCTTCGTGCTGATCCTCGGATTGGGCGCCACGATCGAGCACGAAGCCATCAAACAGGTGTATCAAAAGTATTCAAAAGCGCTTTTGATCGGCTTCTACTGCCAGTATGGTTTGATGCCGTTGATTTCATTTCTCCTGGCCGTGATGTTCCAAGGTATCGAGGGGAAGAGCAGCTTTCCGGATACGCATGGTTTGGGTCTACTACTTGTTGGATGCATGCCAGGTGGTGCGACGAGTAACCTTTTTACCTGCTACTGCGAAGGTGACGTGGCCCTGTCGATTGCGATACAGAGCCAACAATCGCAACAGTGATGGTGTTCCTGATGGTGCCATTGGTTTACTGATCTACAGCGGCCGCTTCAGGTTCAGCAGTGACACGGTGTCGCTGGACTACAAAGCAATCTTTTCTTTTTTCCTCTTGGTCCTTCTCCCGGCTGGCATGGGCATCGCCATACGAAATTGGCACTTGATCTGCGGAAAGAGAGCTCCCTCTACCACCTCGAACAGTGCCATCAAGAATATTGAGATGGTGGCTGGTGCAGACGTTGAACAAGGTCAAGTACCAAATGCAGAGGGGAACCATGGTGCTGCCCAGGAGGACGGTGATGCAGAAGCAAACATGGATGATACGAAGAATGCTGCCCCCACAAAGTCACAGGAACAAGAAGGAAAAGATGGAGTGAACCTGGAAGCTGCTGTCGAGATGAACGAGACCAACGAACCAGCTGAATCGGACGTACAGAAAACAAAGCAAGCTGCCACCAAAGCGCAACGTCCAAATCGCTTTATTCCTAGAGAAGCTGGCTGGGATTTTGGACATCGTCTTTATCAGCGTCGCGATGGTCGTCGCAGCCATATCGAATTCTGACATTTTTACAGCTTCAGCCGGCTCCTACATGGTCTCCAGCATGCTGCTCATGCCGATTGGGGTCGTCGCGAGGCATTTCTTGGCCTACAACGTCATCTTCGAGTGCGAGTTCACCGGCCACCATGAATTGGCCGACGAGCACAGAGGCAAAGAGCATCCGGAGTTCGGCGTTTGCAGAACGGTCGGCTGAGAAACCGGTGTGCAGAATAAGTAGTACTTTGGCTTTGGCAATCATCGCTTTCACGTGAACTGAAGGGACGACAGTGTACGATGAGCTGATTCGGATTCGGCTACTTTACTACAGCTTCTTCCTCATGATCGGAGGTGTGCGGATTACCTTGTATTTTCGCAGGACCCCGGTTTTTCCCGACGAAGTCCACAAGAACGTCAAATCTGGATTGAACTCGACAATGAATATCGTTGCGAGAAGGCCAAGCAAAGACATTGTTTGAGAACAACGGTCCTGGTGGCCCGGAAGGGGAAGATGAAAGCAAACCAGTGGAAAACTGAGCAACCTGACCATGGGGTCGTGGACATGAGATCCACCTGAAGATATGAGGAGTTTGTTTGAACTGAAATCCGAAAAGGTAAAGAATACAATCTTTTCCCTCTTGTTGAGAATTTTTTACTTACGAAGACCACGTGTAGATAGTTAAACGTTGAGCTTGACAATTTTTTTATCGGCACGAACATAATCTATGAATTTCAGGCCCGTGCATGACAGCATTTTTTCTAACCGTCTAACGCCTAGTGATTCGATTGAAACAATAACAAGCGCATCACGGATGTAGATAACTAGTAGGTGTTGAACTAGAATGCCTGCTCTGAGGCGGACTTCATACTTACGAACAAATCTTGACTCTACTCATCTTCGACTTCGTATGTAATTAATGCCTGCTTCAAGACAGTAGTGGTCTCTCTCAGTTCAGTAAGTAGATGGAACTAGAAGAAAGTAAGTAAAGTATTTCTATTTCGTTTAATAGAGTCTATGGCTTGGGCTTACAAGGCGAGTACATACAAGAAGCCGCTTTAAGCCAAGTTAAAGGAATTACGTCTAGTACTTCCTTTTATTATCGTGTGTTCACCTTTACTTGGTTTCTTTTCGCTACGTTGTAAGAGAATGGATTCGTTTAAGGCTGACCGAGTTGGAGAGAAAGCTTGAGTTGCGAAGAGATACCAAAAAACAAGAAGGAAAATCAGCACCTATGTGTTGAGTAATTAAAGCAGCCTCTTTTCGTGCAGAAAGAAGATTGTTGAACAGTTTTCTGGCAATTAAAGGCGCACTTGCAAACTGAGGGACGACTTTCTCCGGACATGAGAGCATTTTTGATTGTGATCTAGTTCTTCCTACAATTTATGTGAGGGTGGCACAAAGTCGGTTTTTGGTCTACGTCACGGACATGCTGGAATCAAATCAAAATCTTCGTGCTTCGTTTTTTATTCATCGTTTATGATTTTGCTTCTGGTGTTACTTGTAGAATTTTCTGCTCACTTAAAATTGAGATTGATAAAGCGAATCAACATGATTTAGTAACTCGAGCGTAGATCTTCATCTTTTGTTCAATTTTTTGCGGCCCCTGCTAGCAGTGCTAGGAAGCAGATGTAGTGTTGCACTATAAAAACGATACCAGTACGCGGGCCCAAGAGGGCCCCCCTTTTCTTGAATACTCAGAAGAATAGGACCCCGCATTTCGTGACAAAGAAAATGTGGGTCCGGAGCGATGATGACCGTTTTTTTCGACGGGGGGCGAAGATGCTGCTCCTCTTGCTTCTCCATGGAGAGATCGTTCGCTCGATTCAGCCGAAGGAAGCAAGTATCACGATTACGGCGGACGAAGCCTTTACTTTCGATTCATCAGAGTTGGACGATATTTTTCTTGAGGATAGTCTGCTGGAAACTCCTTCAAAATTCAAACTTCCAAGGAAGCAAGGAGCCACGAGCATGACATCGCAGGCGGGCGATTCACATTCGTCTGAAATTCTGGTGGCTCTGCCTGTAGCAAGCAATATCCTACCTGCGAAAGATTCGGCAGCGCAGCCTGTAGTAAGTGCAGACTCACCGTCACCTACGGAATTTTCGGCGGCGCAGCTGCGCCTAGTCTTCGAGACTCCATCTGCGGAATTTTCGGCGGCGCAGCTCCGAGCAAGCGAAATTCCACCTGCGGAATTGCCGGCAGCGCAGCCTGTAGTAAGCGTAAACTCACCTACGGATTTTTCGGCGGCGCAGCCCCTAGCAAGCGAAACTTCACGTGCGGAATCGCCGGCAGCGCAGCCTGCAGTAGGCGCAAACTCACTTGCGGAATTTTCGGCGGCGCAGCTCCGCCTAGTAAGCGAGACTCCATCTGCGCAAGGTTCGGCTGCGCAGCCTGTAGTAAGCGCAAAGAAACCTAGGGAATATTCGGCGACGCAGCGTCGCCTAGCAAGCGAGGCTCCATCTGCGCAAGGTTCGGCCGCGCAGCCTGTAGTAGGCGCAATATCACCCACGGAATTTGCGGGGACGCAGCTCCGCCTAGCAAGCGAGACTCCATCTGCGGAAGGTTCGGTGGCGCAGCCTGTAGTACGCGCAAAGTCACCTACGGAATTTTCGGCGATGCAGCTTCGCCTAGCAAGCGAGACTTCATCTGCGGAAGGTTCGGTGGCGCAGCCTGTAGTAAGCGCAAAGCCCCCTGCGGAATTTTCGGCGATGCAGCTCCGCCTAGCAAGCGAGACTCCATCTGCGGAAGGTTCGGTGGCGCAGCCTGTAGGAAGCGCAAAGTCACCTGCGGAATTTTCGGCGACGCAGTTTCGCCTAGCAAGCGAGACTTCATCTGCGGAAGGTTCGGCGGCGCAGCCTGTAGTAAGCGCAAAGCCACCTGCAGCGGAATTTTCGGCGATGCAGCTCCGCCTAGCAAGCGAGACTCCATCTGCGGAAGGTTCGGTGGCGCAGCCTGTAGGAAGCGCAAAGTCACCTGCGGAATTTTCGGCGACGCAGCTCCGCCTAGCAAGCGAGACTCCATCTGTGGAAGTCCTGGCGGCGCAGAAGGATAGGCTTTCTTGCGCAGCCATGTTCGACGACCAGAGGCAGGACGATTTGAGAAGGAAGGTTGCCGCGCACATCGACGAAAAGATCTTTGAGGGTCACATGTTCCCATCTGCAGACGAAGACGCCGTAGATACGTCTTCGTTCTGGCACGTACTCACGCCAGCGCGCGTTGCTGCAGCGCGATTGCTCCTGACGACGGGAGAAGAAACTACCAGCGACGGTCGCGAATGGACAGACCGGTGCGAAAAGGCTTTAGGGAGCGTGGCGGCGGCGAAAACGAAAACGTACACGCCTGACGACTGGGCAAGAACTGTTGCTCATATCCTAGGAACCTCTTTCGTCACGGGATCTTTGGAGGGACTCGCAGAGTCCAGCCTCGTTGCGCGTCTGCTTGGGGCGAGTCTTAACGCAGAAAAGGAGCTAACGCCGCCCGAACAGAGCGAAGTGCTGTCGAAGGTCGCCCAATCCCTCGAACGCGGACTCGGATTCTCTGGGCCAGTGCTTCCAAAGCGTGGACCTTCGTACCTGGTCAGCGATGCGGGGCTCATCAGTTTCACGAGTAAACTAGACCAATTACCTTCCGACTTCCGCCTAACTCTCACTTCGACGAGCGCGGCACAGCTGGCAAAGGAGGTCGGAATGGTCGGCTCAGTAGACACAGCAGTGAAATTTTTCTTGGACGATAGCACGTTCGGCCGCGCGTGGACGGAGTTTATTGCGCAACCTGTAGTAGATCATCAAGATCAACTACTGCCTTACGATTTCTTGGTGGATGCGGGATGGGCAGGCCACAGCGTTCTTTTATCTGTGGCGTTCGACACAGGCAATGACGATCATAGTCGCAACTTCTTCAAAGTCTGCGTGTACAACACCGGTGAGGGAACGAACACAGCCGGCTTTCCGATGCGGGTTCGGAAAGACGGGCGTATGCAAATTGTGCCTTACCTCTGCTGGACGCGCGTACCTCGGGAAAAAATGGACCTAACAAGGGCCACCACCGGCGGCGCCAGGAATATTGTATTCTCTCCGCCATTTTTTCCGAGGGCTGCGCTGGAGTGGATGCGGCTTCTAGCGTTAAGACACTGCGACAGCAGCGTGAGCCTTGCAATGGATCCAGGGGATCCGAAGGACCACTGCCAACACAAGTTCTACCTCGTCCTGGACGACTGGCTGGCATCCGACTCGGGCTCATCTCCATCGCCGAGTCGCCGTTTGGGTGTCGAGCAGAGTGCCACTTTCTGGATCACCCCGCAACGGAGAGGCGTCTGTGCGTACACGTCCAAACTCGCTTACGTCCGCCACGCCCTCTCGGGGGAGGACAAGGCGGGCGCGGCTCCGCGTACGTATAAGCAGGCGGTCGGTCGGTTGCGGCAGTGCGTAGCACGGCTGGTCACGAAACAGCTCCTTTTTCTGGCTGTGGGGCCATTGAGCTCGCTAAATGGAAATGGAGCGCTGTGTGCCGCAAAGGATGCTAGTTTAGGCTCAAGCGCCGCGTCGCTTGCTACTCCGTCTTCCACCTCTTGGGGTCGTTTGCGCGAGTGGGTGATTGGAGCAGAGGAGGCAGGCGCGCACTCCTTCCGCTCGCGACTTCTCTCTTGTGAACGGCGTCAGGTGGAGCGATTCGGGACTCTGGCAACCATGGTGGTCCGAAACGTGCCGAAGGCGGCAAAAGTGCTGTGGGCGGACTATCCGGATCAACTCGCAGAAGAAGAGACGTCCTCTGAGCGTGATGAAGTTCTTTCTCCAAATCGTCGCGAGACTGGTGTCTCGTCCACCTTGGCTCACAAGATGAAGCGGGAGAATGAACTGCTGCGAGACTTCAGTTGCGCATCGCTGTCTCTTGCGGCAATCCTGGAAGCCACGCAGGATGCAAGGACGCGCGATTACAGGTTGCCTCCGAGCGCGGGAGCGGCTAGAAGCACCGCGCAAGCGGTGGGGTGGAAGTTCGCGACTGCTCCCGTGATGCCCGTAAAGGGCAAAGACCAACGTGGCTTTTCTACTATTTTCCCGCTGCTAGGGGTCTGGATATGGGCGAAACGCAGTTTGGAGAGCTTGGAAGCACTGGAAGCAGATGCTGCAGATGCCTTGCGTGGAGCGTCGCACGAACAAGAGGTGTCGACGGATAGGGAGGGGCCGAATCAGGCGGCGTCGCTGATGCAAACAGGAGGGACGGCCGCTAGAATGGAGCCAATACCAGGCGGGCGAGGGACTAATGACTCTCTGGACAGGTTGGATTCGGACAAGGCTTGGGAGGTCAATTTCTTCAACAAAAACACAGGCGAAGAAAAACCATTGGGCGAGGGCGGCGACTCCCTGGACGCGTTGGTGAGGGAACGCGAGCAGTTCACCGTTAATACGAAAAGTCCCGAGGCACCACTACCACTAGGCGATCCCAGGGTCGGCAAATCCGTGGGCGGTTTGGAGATCGAGAACTTCGAGGAAATCCCACTTCATCAAGAAAAACCATTGGGCCAGGGCGGCGACTCCCTGGACGCGTTGTTGAGGGAACGCGGGGACATCAACAACATCAAATATGACCCGAAGAAGCAGACCACGTCAGCACCCCATGCGCAGGCCGCTACGTCGGTCTCGCCTAGGAACAGTGAGGCGGTAGCGAAGGCGGAAACGCCACTGCTGGAGGCGAATGTAGCGAAGCAGGCGCAAAAGGCTATCCCACCATTGGCGCAAGGGCTGGAGCGGTCACCAGTGACGGATGCGGCTCCAGCGGTAGCGGAGGCGCCGGACCAGATGGCAGATGGGCGCTTGGCGCCAGGACTGAATGGTCGCCCGGCGGAGAGGCGTAAAATGTTGCCAGAGACTTTCGACAGGAAGGCACTCCCTAACTTTGTGCGAAGAATGACGCGCAAGGTCCTCGACGAGGTTTTGCCTATATGGCTTGCGAGCGAGGTGTTAGAGAGCGAGATGTCGCAGCGTCCCCCAGCCGCGCTAGACTTTCATGGCCTCGCGATCTTGGCACATCTTCTGCAAAAACTGATGACGCGTTTGATGTTCGATCCGTCTTCTGATGTGGTACTTACTTTGTCCATGTCCTCTCAAAGCGAAGCTAAAGAATGCAAGAAAACTACGAAAAACATGAAAGCGAGCCTATGACGAATGTTTCGCGATCCATGTTAGCGCTCAGGCCCATCTCTGTGCCCGTTTCGTGTATTTTATGAATATATTTGATTATGATATTGTCCGTGACCCATTAAGTATTAAGTTTACATATTACAGACATGATACTTCCTTTACATTTTCATCGCAGGTGTCAACTGCGCCACTGCCTCGCGCAGGGCCTTCGGACGGACATGGGATCTCTTCTGTGCAAACACTTTTGCGTGACATTTTCGTAGAGCACGCTGTGCCGCGGGTGGCTCTCCCTTTCTTTGCCTCCGGGATTGACAAGAGGCCCGAGAAGCTTCGGCAGCAACACGCTTTTCCGCCCGCAGCGTGGACTGAACGAAGCAGCGAAGACCGCGAGGGCGGTCATGCAAGCGACGTGGAAAACCGGCATTACTCCTACCGCCGCGAAGTCGATTCGCGGGAAATCGCAATGGCTGCGACTGCTTTCCCCGCCACTTTTGTAGCCTTAGGGGAATCACTGAACAGAGCCGAGGAGTTCTATCGTGATTCGTTCAAAAACGAGAGGAGAAGCAAGAAGCAGCTGGCGCCCTTTGACAGCGCAACATCCTTGAGCAGAGTCTCGTCATGGTTGGCGAGAGGACAGACTTTGCAACTGCTGCTTCCCTTCGGACAGATGCCGTGGTACTTTGAGGCTGCTTTTATGCGCCACATGACACAGCCACACCATAATGACTACGAAAGCGCGCCCATGTGGCACCAGCTGGAGAAGAGTCCAGTGTGCTTTGAGAACGACAAAAAGACACACGAATACGACTCACCGTATGAGATCGTCGCCGCGGACCGGTTTTTTGTGTTCGACTTTGACATAACATGGCGACCTTTACTCTTTTTCCGTTCTGGCTCGAAAACCACGGTCAGCGTCAGCAGACAGGCTTTCGAAGCAGCGGTAGCAGAGACCACGACCGCGGGTGGAGCTTGTGTAGCAGACGACACTGATAGCCTTGCAGCACGTGCCGCTTCATTCCTATCGAGTGGTGGCTATCAACCAGCCAACCAACCAACCAACCAACCGACCGACGCGCAGGACGTGGGGGCCCGCCCTTCTGGTGGATCAGAAGGCGCATCTCTTGAACTTGATAGCGCCGATTTCCATCCGCGCTTGCCGCTTGCAGCTCTCCCGCATTTAGTAGATGAAGAGCAAGAGCAAGAAGTTGTATATGATGAGAATGACGAGCACAAAACCACGCAGCCACCTCCTACCAGCTTCCTCTACGTAGCAGAGAGGAAATCTAGTCTCGATGACACCACTCCGAAGGAAAGCGCGCCCATCATTACTTACGAACAGCTGAGGGGCTACCAGAGGGGAGTGCGGTCCGCCACCGCCGGCCTCGGCGGCGTCGCTAGTCGTGACGCCCTTTCAGAATTGACAAAGAAGCTGCAAGCGTGGCGCGATTGTTCAAAGGCGGCTGAATACGTAAAGCACACAGTCTTGGATAGCAGTGGCAGTAGTCGCGACATGTGGCCCACGCGTCACCGGATCTGTAGCGATGTGCTGAAACGTGGCATGGGGCCTCAAAATGCCCACAAAGGAGACCAACTTGGCCCGCGGGGCTACAAGGACCCTCCTACCTCCGCAGCTGCTGCAAAGTCTCCAGAGGGTACCCCTTTGGAAAGGCAGCTCGATTCCCTGCGGGAGGGTTTAGTATTCGTGGAACGGCTCTCGGTCGAGTGGAGTATGCAGGCAGTGATCGCCGACCCGTCACCCGCGGAGGCTGGCGCGTCCGACAATGAGTGGCCACTGTGCGGGGCGCAGAAGATTGTGAAAGGCGGCGCGCGGGGAAACTTGTTGAAACTGGAGCCATCTCACGCAATTGGAGGGACCACGCGCACACGGGCGAGCCAGTTCGGCGAGCGCGTGAAGTTAGCCGCACCGGAGCAGCAGCTATCTGACCATGCAAGTGTGGTAAGAAATGCGCCGGTACGCTTGCGCCGTCATTGGAGGAGGTGTGAGGCGCGGGGAATGCGGAGCCGTGAAGCCGAAAGCCTGATGGGCTTGGTGGATGCGGAAGCTTTTCTAACGCGAAATGGTCTGTATGTCACTCATGAGACAAGGGAAAAAGTAGCGCGAAGTGATAGGCTTTACGCCTTTACCATACTCAAACAAGCTAAGGTAGTCTCACTATCTTACACGCTGAACGTCGCTGCATTCTAGAACGCTCCTCCCGCGTGAGAGTCACTGCAACAGAACAGAGTGAGTTGCTTGCAGCTCCATCGCCGGAAGTGTCTGGCTCCTCGCTAGTTCTTACATGAATCCACACCAGGCGGGTGCCGTGGCATTGATGCTTTGGACAGGAGTCAAAATAGCCAAGGGAGAGATCGCAGATCTTTCCCCGTCCATCTGCGCAGCGGATGGGTGTACCCGCTGGACACCTCGGGCCAGGTCGGTGCTGCCCCTCCTACACAACACCGCGCCAGCACCCGCCCCGTAGATGTGCTGTCTGGTCACGCGCCGCAATGCCTGACGAGAGGCCCCTCATCATATGAACTAATCCTGATCCAACCGAAGGAAGGACGAAGTCGCGCCAATGTGCTGACGCAAAATGATGGCGATGATGATGCAAGCCCACCAATCGGCTGGGGCGGGATTCCGTCTTATCTCTGCCGCTGCTTTACCTAAGCGGGCTGCCTTCTTTAAGGTGAAGGGCGGCCCCTACTCGACTCCAGAGAGGGGCCAGACCAGCGTCCGCCATCCCTCCGGGGGACTCCCAGCCAGGGAGGCGAGGGGAGCTCCGCGGGCTCTTTTTTACCCTCTTACGCTGCCTCGCTCCCGCCCCCTTCGTCGGGGGGTCTCCCTTTAAGCGGCCTTGCCATGTCAGCCGCTTTCTTCTTCTTCTGTTCTGTTTTTTTTTTTGGCTTCATTTCGTCCAGCTATCTCGTTGCTAGGTTCTCTGCCTTTCCCTCCTTTCTTTCTCATTTCTGCCCTGGGCTTGGCGTCTTTCTTTCTTTTCGGCTTCCCTACGTGTTTTCGCCTCTGCTTCTTCTTTGCTACGACGGGACCACCCTGCGCCCTCTTTGTTTTCACTTCGTCTTGTCCCCCTCTTCTTCGTTTTTCGCCGTGGTCTTCCTGTTTTCTTTCTTTTTCGGAGGTCTGGGAGGGAGTGGCCCCGCCGCCAGCCTCTTCTTTCTTTGTCCCCCCTCTGTTTCGGGGGGCTTTCTCTGCTTCTTTCTTTCCTCGAGCCTCTCGAGCGGGTCACAGGGCAAGTGCTTGCACTCTGCTCCGGAGGGTCTCTGGTTCGAATCTTGGAGGGGACTCGACTGGCAGGGAGGCGGCCTTCAGGCTGGTTGCCGCCCCACACCCAGGGGAGAGACAAACGGGGACCGCGCTGGGCCAGACAGTGCGGGGAGATGAGACCCAAGGGGAGCCCTCTGAGCAGCTGACGGCACCGCGCCCACGCGGTCCATCGTGTGGCTCGCAACCCTGGCCACTACTGGACGGCGTAAGCTCATCTGATGAGTAGCCGGGCTGGGTGATGCATAAACACAAGGGGCGCCACCTGGGCAAGGCCTCAAGGTCAGGGGCTGGCTGCGTGGTGTCCAGAGGGGAACCCTCTGCACCCGAAGCGCCAGCAGGTCGCGGCCAGGCGACCGCCCTCCCCAGATCGGGGAGGTTCCTCGCTCTCTCTCTCTCTCTCTCTCTCTCTCTACTCCAGAGCCGTCGACTGCGCGCTCTCACTTCTGGGCACATTCTGCAGCAAGATCGCAGCTGCCCTGCATACTACACTAATGCAGCCCTGCATGAAGACGCCCGTACTCAAGGACCTTCAAAAGCTGGCCGGCTTAGCTACGTTGGCTGGGGTCGCAGCACACGCGCACAAAAATCGGCACCGAGCTGCTACGGCCGCTCTACAAGTGGCTCGGCCAAGCGCTCTGCCACACACTGAAGATATGCAAGAAGCGCCGCGGCTCGCTGTGACTCAGTGCGCTGCTGCTTCGGCTTCTCTTGCCGAGCTTACCGCAGATTGTGGATGGCGAGAACCCGGCAGGCGTCGCCCAATCATGCATAGCCACAGACGCAGCGTCTGACGGTGGCCCGCACGGGGCGCCCATGCTCGGGGGCTTCTTCATCAATGCACATGGCCGCCGCGAGGGCTTCGCTGTCCCGGTTAACCGTGTGGCGATTGGAGCAATCGCAGGCAACTCGGTCAGAATCGAAGTCCTCGAAGCAATGGCCACAGACCTTGCACTCACGACTTGGGCGTGGCCGTCCCCAAGCAACTTCATGCGCATCGCGCTGGACAATGTTCGCTGCCCAGCTATACGCACGCGCGAAGATGACAGCAAAGTCGTCGCACCTTCTCAATATCGTCGCCAGTGCTGCACTAGACTACACACGGCGGCCACGGAGAGGCGCACGCTACAAAATCCAAATCGCTGGCGTCTTCTCCTGAGAAGACTGCGCGGCCATCTGCACCTCACTAGTGTAGTCCACATTAGAGCCCCCCCAGCGGTTGCGTTTCGTGTTTTAACTCCTACCCTAACTCGGATTAAACTCCTGGCACATGCTCGGGCTCGTTTCTGCTGTTAAGGGGGTCAGCTTTTGAGAGTGGGGAAAACT